ACACACGGCTAACAACCGCACGACCAAACATACACATTTCACACTCATTTCACAATTCACGTCCTCATCACACGAACACACCACCCGATCACACATATTTAGCACACGAACTCAATGCGCATTCACATTACCACGCCACCACACCTCACGGCCATACGCATACGGCACACCACCAATCCACAATCAGTCCACAAACACAATCAGCACAAACATTCCAATCAGCCCATTCAAGCCACAATAATTCCAATCAATTACACAAATTAACCGCGATCGCTCCACACATCACAACCATCATCGAACCTCCAAATCCTCACAAATTTCTTCGCCAAATCAGTCCCCAAATCAGCCCACGACAACCAAATACCAGCCTTCATCTCAGCCCCCAAAACAGCCACATAAACCCCTAAACCGAACCCTAAACATGTCCTATGATACCCGAAGTCCTAGGTAGTTTTTGGGGAAGACACTTACCTAATAAGAATAGGGCAAACTGGCTAGATGGTGGCCGGAACAGAGCAGCAGCAGCAGCGACGTCGCCGGCGGAGACGTACGGTTGGCGACGTACGGACACCATACGGACGCTGTACGGACACCGTACGGACGGTGAAGCGTCATGGTGGCAGCAGCTCAGCTAGACGGTGCTCCAGCGGTGGCTGGTCGGCCTCCAAGAGGCGGTACACGGCGGTCCTTTGGCCGTGAGGAAGAGAACGAGAGGGAGAAAGAGAGAGAGAGAGAACGGACGGGTGAGGGTGATGGGTTGGGATGGCCTGGCGCGGCGGCACGGCTAGACGGCGTGCGGCAGTGCTCCGGCAGCTGGCAGCTTGCTCCGGCGTTCCTTGGCCGAGAGAGAAACCGGCGGGAGGAGGAGGACCGGCGAAGGAGGGGCTGCTCGGTGGGAGGTCTGGCCAAATGGGAGGTGAGGAGAGAGAGAGAGATCAGACCGGTCAAATATGGCGGGCCAAAAAGGGGACACTTGTCGCGATCCGAAGCTAATACCCAAAATACCCCTAATCTAACGGTCCTCGTTTGTCCAAATCCAATAATTGAGGGGCAAAAGCGTCCAAGGTCCAATAATTGAGCTGAAAATCCATTATTAATAATCCCAAACATTTTCCAAAATTCGGAACCCAAAAATAGCTCAGGGGCAAAATGGTCAATTTTCCGGTCCGGGGTCGAAATTTCATTTTTCGCCCGTACCAACCCCAAATGTGTGTGGCCAACATAATATGGCGTCGGAATTCTGAAAATAGCTTCTTAACCCCTCGAAAATCGACTGCAAAGTCTTGAGGGGCAAAACAGTAATTTTTCACTTCCGGGCCGAAATTTCATTTTTCGACCGTACACACTCCAATTATGCGTGGCCACCCTAAAATGGCATCGGCCTCGAAAAATAATCTCATATGGTCTCGAAAATCGAAGTCGGAGTCGAGAGGGGCAAAATCGTAATTTTTCCGGTCCCGAACCAAAATCCATTTTTTTGCAGAAATGGGTGACCCCAAGGTTGGCCAAGCCAAAATCGTCATCGGCCGCTCAAAATTGTCACTTTCAAAATTCTCGATTCCTGGGCCCGAATTCCAAGAAATGACTAGAATTGAACAATCGCGACTTTAGCTTATCTCTGGCTAACGGGTAGCTCATTGGGATTACGCGCTCTCGACCCGTGATCGACACCAAGTCAAATCACGTTTAAGTTTACTCGTACCAAGGCGACCTCGATTGTCATGTAATTGTGAGGGTTTGTCGCTAGTTCCCTTCGGACACGATCAATCAATTAGATCGGTCTCGGTTGGCTTAAAACATTCCCTCGTCAATCCTTATGGTTGAAGGTCGAACTAAGGTCAAGTTCTTTGGTCGTGCGAACTCAGTCCCGTAATGGCCTTACCCCTAAGGTTAGCATCCCGTGAATGCGCATTTCCAGGTGAGATCTCACTATAAGTACATTGGCCAAAATATTCATTTCTTAAATCCCGGGAAAAGGATCGAAAATTCAGACTGTTACACGCCACGACAATACGGATATTTAACCCATCATAAATAACCACCAACTAAGCCCCACAATTATCACAATTTAATTTAACAAATACGTACATACGAATATTGACCCTAATCCCCGTTTAGCTCCTAAATCGGTACTAATCACGTTCTAAACAAGTCTAAAAATACCCATAATCCTAAATAAGGATTAGGAGATCACTTACCAAGTTTTGGCCAAGAGAAAATCGGCTCGGGCCTAAAATAGCCCGGGTGAACAGTGCTGGACTAGGCACGGGCGCGGGCCAAACGGGCGCGCTGACCGGCCAACATGGGCACGGTGGCCGAACGGCGTGCCTGGCGCGCGGGCGCGGTGGTCGAACGGCGTGCCCGGGGCGCACGGCCGAGTGGGATGGGCGACATGCCCGGGCAACTGGCCGGCTGAACGGGCAACGCGCCTGGGCGATGGGCAAGGTGCCGGGCCGGATGAGCAAGGCGCCGAGCGGGCGGGCTAGCCCGGCTCGATCGCGTGGGGAAACGGGCCGGCCACGGCCTGGGCAAGCTCCCGACACGGCTGGGCAATTTGGTGTGAGCGGGCTGGTGGGCCGGGCTAAATAGGGCTGGCCGGCAAGGGCGACTGTGGCGACGACGACGATGGCTAGCCGGCGGCGAAGTGAAGTGGGGAAAAGGTCATCCGGGGGTGGAGGTGGCGAGAGAGAGAGAGAGAGAGAGAGAGAGAGAGAGAGAGAGAGAGAGAGAGGCTGGGGCTGAAGGAGGCGACGGCGACGAGCTTGCCGGGCGACGGCGGCACGGCTGCGGCTGGGACGACGGCGGCGGCGCGCGACAGCCAGGCGAGCTCAGGCGGTCGGCGTCGAGCAGCAGGGAGAAGGAGCAAAAGCAGTCGGGCCAGATAAGGGAGAAGGAAGAAGAAGAAGAAGAAGAAAGGAAGAAAAGAAAAGGAAAAGGAAAAAGAAAGAAAGAAAAGGAAGAGAGAGAGAGAGAGAGAGAGAGAGAGAAGTGGATGGGTCTGACAGGGGGAGGGGACACGCTCAGCAGAGGGTGGCGTGCGGCAGAGGAGGGAGAGAGAGAGAGAGAGAGAGAAAGAAAGTCAACATGCACTCAAGCGCGATCCAACGGTCCGATTTCAAATCTGAAAACGATCCTACGGTTCAAATTAATTCTAGAATATAATAAGGGACAAAGGCCAAATTAATTAAATCAAACTACCCCGAGGGAGGTCAACTAGTCCAAATTCGCACCCAGTCAAAAATCCACTTTTCACATATCCCGGGCAATCTCGAGGCTGGCCACAATAATATTGACACCGTCCAATTAAATTCGTCCCGAAACTCCGAGAAATTCGACACCAAAGTTGGGGCTCTAAATAACGGTCAAATTCGATCGAGTCCGATTATAGCGAAATCTCAATTTTAAAAATAATAACCGAGAGTGATCAGTTCCCGGGCGAGATTTTACTATAAGCACACTGACGAATTACACGTTTTATAAATCCCAAAAATGGGTCGAAATTCGGAATGTCACAATATTTACTACCAAAAAAAAGAAAATAGGAAAAACTTAGACATAACGACACAAACATCTCCCTCACATCGCGTGGAGGATATCAGAAGGATGTTGGAATCTCACTTTGGAGTTTGAGGATCAAAATGAAGGACCACAGCACATAAAAAGTCCTCAGGCTTTTTCGGGTATTTTTCTCACGTAGTGCAAGAGTCTATCAAACTACAGAAGTAGTTGAAACCAATCCACAATGAAGATTGAAGTTCTATTAACGAATACCTCCATGGCATTTATTAAGTATATTTTATGGTAAATAATTTAAATTATAACCCCGATGGTAGTCACTACATAAGATACTGCAACATTTTTTTAACGGTCTGTTAATAAGTACCCAATATTATTTTTTTGGATATAGTGGGTCAGGTGGTGTTTGGGACAGTTTTCGCGCAACTAGACCGATCTATCTCAAAATTACAAGAAAAGGAGCAGACTCCCGTGCCATTTAGACCGACACATTGTCGATAAAGTCCTAAAAATTATTCCAAGAGTGTATATGTCAAATCTCGAGGACCGCAGGAAATTTCTAGCCACTGGCAGGCTACTTTTCTCTGGCCTTTTGGGTTAGCGAGTGGAGCATGCGGAACAACTACTTTTCGAGACTCACTAACGATTTTTGAGTTCGGAAAAACCAAAGAAAGAAATTGCTGGAAAAAATGACAAATAGTTAATGTGAATCCGAGTTCAGTAAAGCCGGCACATGATCCATCGTTTTCAATTATACAGATTCAGTATAGACACGTACAAGACTCATGTAATAATTTCTCGAACTTCAGGTGAATTAAGATGCCCCGTGGCCACCGTGCATTCACATCACATAGCTATCGAATTGTCAATGTTTAATCTCAATCGTCGATCGTTTCTTTTTCCTTCGTACCCAACCAATTAAAAGGGCGTCACGCCTTTCTCCTGCTAAACGAACCCGAATGATCGATTTGCATAAAATTGTAAAAGGATGGACATTTTAAACACATGGATTGTAGAAGAGGAAGAGCAGGGCTCATCTTTTTTGCCTCCTCCCAAGAGCTTCCTTCTCCTCTTTGGGGGTCTTCCTCTCCCTCAGTGGGATTCGTCCTCTCCTCAATGGGAGTCGCCCTCTCCACTTGGTCGGAGTTTTCCCTTTCTTAATCGCATCATCTTCACTTATTCCCTTCTTCTTCCGCTTCTCACCCCAGGTCGCCATCTTCCCCCCCGACCGAGACGAGGATGATCTGCTCCGTCCGGGCTAAAATTTCATCTGCTGGTTGTGTGATAGTGAAGTAGTAGAACCGTTCAACAGCAACTTGGTGGTACTCAGTGATGTCAGTACTAGAGTGGCTCCCCGTCTTCTTCAAATTTCTGAGGTATCAATGAGTGCACACCAAGTGTTTGCTTTTTTGCCTGATAGAAAATCGTCAGGGGAGTGTGGTGTTTTCTTTGGCGGCGGTTGGTGAGTGAGGAGGAAGAGAGGTGATGCACTCTCCTCTCTCGGAAGTGCTTCCCTCCACCCATTGGGGCAGCCTAGCCAATGGAAACCCAAAATGTCCCTCTTCTTCTTTTCCCAATCTAGCTCAGTCACCATGAACCATGAACTGCTCCTCAGTAACCTAATGCCTCGTCAACTCATCACCCACCCACAACCCTTCAACTTGTCTCACTAAAATCACGCTCTGGAGCGGAACTCAACTGTGAAGGCAAGTAAATCTTGTGTCCTTCAGCTCGAGGAACTACAGTAACTGCGATTAAGTTCCACCTCCATGGAGCCGGATGAAGATGCAAACCACAGGTTGGCCCTGCTCTGCAAAAGATTAGGAAGAATGTGGTCAGACAAAGTCACTAAGAATGTCGAAGGGATTCTGGCATCAGCGAAAGGCAAGGATGGGAATTTAACTCTGATAGGGCAACTCCTCAAAAATCCAAAAATCAACTTCCAAGCTTTCCAAAACACAATGCGGAGAGCATGGCGAGTGGAAAATGCAGACTTTACTCCTTTAGAACAAGGTATTTTTGCAATAACCTTCGACTCTCAAGCTATGAGGAAAAAAGTGATGGACCAAGGTCCATGGTCTTTTATGAACAATCTCTTGATCTTGAAACAATGGGAACCAAATACCACAGCTTTAAGCTACAACTTTGACTCGTGTGACTTCTGGGTACATATTCTGGGGCTTCCTTTTGAGTGGATTTCAGAGGAAGTTGTTCGAGAAGTAGCTGGTAACATAGGACAAGTGCGAGAAGTTAAAATTGAGACAAGAGGAATGGTGTCGTATGGAAGGGTGCGAGTGACATTGGATCTTAACTTACCCCTGCAGTCAGGAATGCTTGCTGACAATGAAGGGAAGAAAATCTGGCTGGATTTTAAATATGAGAGGCTCCCGTATTTTTGCTTCTCATGTGGGAAAATAGGCCACTATGCTTCTGACTGTGAAGATGTGCCTTTTAGCGTCGAAGATGTGAACACTGATGAGGATAGACTATTCAGCCCTTGGCTGAAGGCCGAGGTAAGTAGCAACATCCCCTTCAGGAAGTTATTTCATGGGAAAGAATTAGTTGAACCTATGGAAGAGGAAAGTATCCCGGAGACACCTACCCACTCTGGACAAATAGTGATCTACGAGGAGAGCAGCTCCAGCCAAATCCAGAAAATTCAGCATATTAAGCAGGACAGCACAAAGACTAATCTTACTGCAATGAGTATTCCAGTAGGTCAAAGTGAACATTTGGGTAAATTTCCTGTTACATTGGCTGGAAATCAAGCACCTCCCAAAAAACCAGGTCTTAGTCTGATACCAGCTAGTGCCAATAAAAAGAAACAAAGTGGGCAGAAAACTCCCGTTCGCAAGAGGATTAGAAGGTTCAGCCCATACAACTCTCAAGGGGGCAAACCGTTACTCATAGATGAAGATCAACTACTTGAAACGCCAATCCAGGTGGTGGAAGGCTCGGGACAATGGGCTGTGGTGGCTAGCCCTAATAAGCCACCGGGATCCATATGAAGATTTTGAGTTGGAACTGTCAGGGGTTGGGCACACCTCTGACAGTCCAAGCTTTGAGAGCCCTAGTGGCTCAAGAAAGGCCCGAGGTACTATTTCTCATGGAAACAAAAAACAGAGAAGAAAAGATACACTGGGTAAGGAGGATGTTGAAATATGATGAGTGCTTTGTGGTTAACCCAACGGGAATAAGAGGCGGCCTAGCGATTTTGTGGAATGTCCCTGCTGCTTTATCAATCTTATCAGCTTCAGAGGGATTAATAGACATCGAATGTGAAGAGGACAACTATAAAATGAGAATGCTAGTCACATTTGTCCATGCACCAACAACCTACCAGGAAAAAGACAAGATGTGGGAAGAAATATATAGAATCAGTCGGGTAAACCAGCTGCCTTGGGTGTGCTTGGGGGACTTTAATGATATTATGTATCATTGGGAAAAGGTAGGCAAAAGAATGGCTGAGCACTATAGACTCCATGCTTTTAGAGAGTTCCTGCATAACTGCGAACTAATGGACCTCGAAAGTAAGGGTTGTGCCTTTACCTGGTCAAACAATCGTGAAGGAGAAGAGCTGGTGAAAGAAAGACTGGATAGAGCAGTTAGTAATCTGGATTGGAGACTACAATTCCCTGAGGCAGAAATATATGCATTACCGGCTATTGGTTCTGACCATAGCCCGATCCTATTGTCTACCTATCAAGCCCGTAAGAGGCAGAAGAAAAATTTCAGCTTCGAAGCTTTTTGGTTAGAAGATAAAGAATGCAGAGAAGTTATACAAACAGCATGGAATTCTTCAACGCCTGCGAATGAGGGCCTCTTGATCAGGATGGGAAAAGCTGCAGCTGCCTTACAAAGCTGGAGTAAGAAAAAATTCATAAATGGGCAGGACAGGATTAAGCTCTTAATGGGACAAATACAGTGTATAACAAACAGTCCAGCTGATGAGAAGGAAAAAGAACAACTACAAAAGCTGAAGGATGACATTCAAAGGCTATGGAGTCAGGAGGAGATGTATTGGGCAATGCGTTCGAGGATTAATTGGCTCAAGTGGGGGGATCGAAACACTAAGTTCTTTCACGCCTCTACTGTTCAGAGGAGACAATGAAACAGAATTTCTATGTTGAAGGACTCAACAGGAAACTGGATCCGAGACCAAGAACAACTGAAGAGGATGACATATGACCACTTTAGGAAACTGTACACTTCAGTTGGACATCGACAGTTTACTCCACTGCTTCAATATTGCTCTTGCCGTGTGAAGGAGGAAACTAATCTCAGGCTGATTGAGGACGTAACGCTATAGGTGGTCAAGCAAGCAATATTCCAGCTTGGAACCTCAAAGGCCCCGGGTCCGGATGGCTTGAATGGCCAGTTCTTTCAGCATCATTGGGAAGTCATAAAGAAGGAAGTATTTTCAGAGGTCAGAAACTTCTTCCAAACTGGTGTGCTAAACCCCCTTCTGAATCGAACACTTATCTCTTTGGTGCCAAAAGTTAAAAACCCAGAGAAGCTGGACGAGTTTAGACCTATAAGTTTGTGCAATTTCGCATACAAGATCATTTCCAAAGTGCTAGCAAATAGGCTGAAACCATGGCTCCCGGAATTGATAGAAGTTGAACAGAGTGCCTTTGTAGGAGGACGACAAATCCAAGACAACATTTTTGTAGTTCAGGAAGTTCTGCATCAATTACGGGTTCACAAGCAAAAACAAAAGTTTCAGGCTGTCCTAAAGTTAGACATGCAAAAGGCGTATGATCAGATAGAATGGGATTTTCTGAAGGCTTGTATGAGTACAATGGGGTTCAATGAAAGATGGGTGAATTTGATAATGCAATGTGTTACAACAACCTCTTTGAGTGTCAAGTTGAATGGGGAACCCCAGCCTTTCTTCCAACCTACAAGAGGGATAAGGCAAGGGGACCCTTTATCCCCATACCTATTTATACTGGTTGCAAATTTCCTGTCAATGCTGATGAAAAGAGCTGTGCAAGATGGCACTATCAAAGGAATACAACTCAATAGACATTGCCCTGTACTATCTCACCTGCTCTTTGCAGATGATTCAATATTTTTCCTCGATGGTAAGCTACAAGAATGTCAAAACCTAGCTGCAATCATTCACCAGTATTGTTTTGCCTCAGGACAAGCGGTTAACTTGAACAAGTCAGGGATATATTTCAGCAAGGACTGCCCTAGTGAATTAAGAAGTAATATGGCTAGAGAACTAAGGGTCCCAGAGATTGAAAAGACAGGGAAGTACTTGGGTATTCCTTCTGATTGGGGAGCATCTAAAAAGCAAATGTTTGCTTGGATCCTGGCAAGGGTAAATATGAAGCTTGAAGGGTGGAAAGAGAACACAATGTCTAAAGCGGGGAAAGAAATTCTGATCAAAACTGTTGTCCAAGCATTACCTCAATACGCTATGTCAATTTTCAAGATTCCACTTTCAGTATGTCGAGCTATTGAGAAAAAAATCACAGCCTTCTGGTGGAAGAACCAACCAGCAACAAAAGGAATGCACTGGAGGAAGGCCGAAGTTCTCAAACAGAGAAAAGACAGAGGAGGCCTTGGGTTTAGGGATTTAATATCTTTTAACAAGGCCATGCTGGGTAAACAAGCTTGGCAATTAGCACAAAATCATACAACTCTGTGCAGTCAAGTTTTAAAGGGTATTTACTACCCAACCAAGAGCTTCTGGAAGGCAGAGAAGGGATCCAGACCATCTTGGGGATGGCAAAGCATACTCATGGGGCGCACATCAATTGAAGACTCGGTCATGTGGTCATAGGCACAATATTAACATCAGGGAGGATAAGTGGCTCAAAAGGGGAATTATAGGGGGACCGGCTAATGCAGGGGACCCAAAAAAGGTTGATGAATTGATAGACCAAGAGGAAAGCACATGGAAGGAACCGCTTTTGCGACGACTATTCGATGAACAGGTAGTACGAGAGATCTTCACAGTACATATCAGACCACAAATGAATGAAGACAAACTGATCTGGACGGGCACGAAGGAAGGCGACTACACTGTTAAGAGCGGTTACAACACCCTTCGCAAAAGGTAAAACAGTAAACTCAACTCCGCTCCTCCTCTCATCAAACTCCTACTAAACTCGGAACGAGGATATGGAGAATGAAAACTCCCCACAAAATCAGAAACTTTGTATGGAGCGTATGCCAAAACGCACTACCAACGAAGGAAAATTTGTACAGAAGGCAACTGGTACCTGATCTGAATTGCCCATTCTGCCGAGTTCATGCAGAAACCACAGAACATCTATTCCTACTATGCAAGTGGACGAGGGAAGTCTGGGATGTTCCTGCACTCAACATCCAGATCTCAAAATACCAAACTTCCCGCTTTGATGAATGGCTGATAAAATTCATACCCAGCAGAAATAACTCCCCCGAATTTGAGTTAGTCTCTGTTGTACTCTGGGAAATCTCTAAAGCAAGGAATAGCCTCGTCTTTAGAAGGCTCCTCCCGGACCCACAGTTGCTGGTTGAAAAAGGACGACAGTTGCTAAAAAATTTCAACAGATGGAACAACCTTGACAGACCAATTGAAGCTGTAAGCCACTCAGAGGAGGATGTCTGGAGTCCCCCAGAGAGGGGCGAAACAAAGGTAAATATGGATGCAGCTCACCAACCTGGTTCCTTTGAAGGTTCAATAGCTTGTGTATGCCGCAACTCGGCTGGGATCTTGATCGACGGCTTTGCCAAGGACGTCCTCACCTCCTCCGCCGAGCAAGCCGAGAGCCTAGCCATGGTGGAAACCCTCAAATTCCTCTCTCCCCGTGCGGATGAAAACCTAATTTTGGAGTCAGACTGCCTAAATCTGGTCAATAGCTTGAAGTCTCCAGAAGGTATGCTGTGGGAACATCGTGCTCTCCTCAGTGAAGCACGTGAGCTGCTGTCTTCGTTTTCAAACATAAAACTGCAGTTTTGTAATAGGTCTAGGAATAGTGTGGCGGACTGGGTAGTTACGACACACAAGAAAAAAGCACTCACTGAACACTGGTTGACCCATCCTCCGCAGGCCCTTAGAGATCTGCTTTGTTTTGAGACCCCGAAAGTGGGTTCTGTCTTTACTAGATATCAATGAACAGTCTTTTCTTCTGACCAAAAAAAAAACACATGGATCGTCCCCCAAACACAATGGGTTGGTGTTTTCTTAGTAAATTTTTTCAACCAGCTTTTTGCCCCTAACAGTAATTCTTGCTTTATAAGTTTCTACGGATCAGGTCAGTTGTGACAAATTATGGAGCTGATGAATATTTTATGAAGAGTAGACGGCCCCTGCCTCCCTCAAAACCTCCAATCGATGGGGACAACTTTCGGTGGGGGAGGAGAAGGACAAAACCGTTGACCGGGGGAAGTCTTTCTTTTATGCCGACCAAGTCAATAATGTCGACGCCCTCTATCATACGAATAGAGTGGGGGGAATCATTTGGTGGCTTGATCTGACTCGGTTGCGAAAGTTAGACTTGCGCTGCAAGTTTCGCCTGCATGTTTTACTAATGCATCATCCACCGGTTGTTAGAAAGCTTGGGATAGACAAGTACCAACCACGTATAGCACTAATTTTTGCTGATCTCTAGCATAACGTTCCTTTCGAGAAAGACGAAGAAAAGCTCTTTTCCTAGGATTGATCGGATGAAGAAACAAGCTATCGACAAAGATAACGTCCCACTCAATCCGATGATTGAGCTTTTGTCCCTTTTGCGAATCTAGGATTGATCGGATTGATCGGATGATTGAGCTCCCCCCCATGTTTCAGATCAGGCAAAGTGATGAAAATTTGGCTGATTATTCCCTCCAAGCTATCGACAAAGATATGTTAGGTCATCTTCGGTGACTCATGAGTGAAACCTTTCGAATAGATATGTCGGGTCGGATTTGAGTGGGTCGAAAATGAGTTGGATTCGAGTGACACTGATGATTTGACCATGTTTCTCTCGTTTACCCTCTAGATTCGCCCTTTTGTCCACTGCCTGTCGGTATTTGGGCGGTATCAGCTCAGAAAGGGCACTAGGTGCGGATCTGTGCGGTACGGAAGACTTGTCCGAGCTCCCAAAGCTCGACAATTTGAAGCAGCCCGACAATAGGATGGTCGAGCATCACGAAATGGACTCTTCACCGCTGAAATAAATCTTATGGAGATGGCTAAAGATAGCTTAGAAAATCATTAGCATCAATAGCAGCCAAATCTGCAGGTGAATCCTTCTACAAATATATCATCCAGACTTATGGCCATGCTAAAAGCAGTGCTAATTGACGTTTGATAAGTAGTCGCAAAACAGGTATTATAGCGAAGAAGACTGACTGATATAAATGATCGAACTTCTTGAACACGGCCATGTATAAAACTACCAATAGTCTAGAATGTTTCCTGATCAAAGCAACTCTGTATATGACATCTCTCTCTCTCTCTCTCTGTATGTGTGAAAGTGTCTGTGCACATGCGCGCGCATGTGGGTGCGTATTTTTGCTGTCACGGCAGTGGAGTAATAAAATGAATGTACCCAGTAGAGTACGAGCTATATCGAACTTCCACAAGTTAGACCACAAGTTGTCCATCCTCAAATATCAATGAACAGTCCCAATTGGCTTGGGTATTACAAAAGGAGCATGAGTGCAAATTGTTTACTGCCTCTCGACTCTTCATATTGAATTAAGACACGATTATTCTACCATTAATCATATGACAGCTGCATACTTCAATGCTGAACATAGCAAACTGGGTATGAGGAGTAAAGAAACATGGCCATTGTTTCTGCACTTTTTGGGCAATAAGAACCCGAGCAGTCGAGTAATCGCTGAAACTGTTGAGAAGAACTCAGAGAAGCAATTAGGAAACTGACCATGTGAGATTCAACATACATGTTGAAAATCTCCCGCGTCGCTTGATGGGTATATATATTTTTTATACAAATGTGGTCTACCTCCACCTATCAACTTAAGTTTTTTGGGTGGGACAATTATATTATCTATTTATTGACTCTATTATAACTAAATAAAAAAGGTTAAATACATATTTAAAACGGAAGTCTGACGACCCTTATCATACTCCATTTTTTAACAAATGACACTTCGCGTGCCCATTTTTGTTCTACATATTGGTTGGTCCACGCTCCAAGTAATTTAGGTCAATCATTCCATGAATGATATGATAGTTTTTATTGGATTCATCAATGGTATCGTTCATCGTTACATATGTCCAATTTAAAGTTCTCACAAATTTTTTGTTCAAATGAATAAATTGAGGCCTGGCATTGGCGGGTGCTTGACTATATTTCAGATGAGGAGGTTGATGTTGATGGGCTTCACGAGGCCGACTTGTCTTCCCTGCCCATGATTTCAACTTGTTGGGTTCGCGCAAACTATAGGAGTGTGGTGCTCATCGCTCGAAATAGAACTTCGGACTCTCAAGTGGCCTTTTCCCTTCTTTAGAAAGCAACTCCCTCTCTCAACTTTGGTTCGGATTGGGAAATTGTTAGACTATTTCCAACGGGTCAAAATTACACATACTTTTAGGGAAGGAAACTCATGCAGATTGATTAGCAAATTAAGTCATTCGATCCTATGTAAATGACAATCTAACTTTATAGTTATATAGGCTATCAGGAGGTTTACTTTTTCTTATTGATAGGGGATCGGACTGTGTCAAGTTCTGTTAGGAAAGTAATAGTGTAGTGCTCAGACTTTGCCCCTTTCTTATAACAAAAGAAAAAACTAACGGGTCAACCTGATGAGTTAAGGTTAGTAATCAAAATTTCACTCCTCGAGCATATAGGTTACATGTGAAGTTCATTTCATTCATTTTTGTATATTGTTTTTGCTTAATTTCGTTCTCAAGGACAACGACTTGGCGCTTTGAGTAATACTAAGCAACGATGCAGAGACAGTTGTGCGGACAAACAGCACAAGGAAACCCAATTGTTCAGGCATGTCCCTGTGTCAACCTTCCCGACCAGTGCAATTTGGTGATTTGCATCCCAGTTACACAATGTCATTTGCTCGACATGAAGTGCGAGCACGCATCATATTCGACGACAACCAACTAGACGACTTAGTAATATACAAATCCCAAGATCTCCAGGTGTAAATTGGGATTGAATTCATATAAATGTCACATCCATCAACAAGGTCGAACATTGTCGGAAAAAAATGTTTTTGGTGTTCGTCATTGTACTCTCCAACAGGTAGACTTACGCAGCCGTCTTCCATAACTGATTAGCAGACACACATAGACTTGATCTCCATGAAAACTCGATTAGGAAACTACACTGCAACTCCAGTGAAAGTCAAGAATGGATACTTTATCCCTGTTCCTTGGTTTCATTCTTTGTGGTTGTTTAAGAGAAGAAGCGAAGAAAAAATATAAGTTAGAGCCAGAACAGAGTCGAAACATGCAGATTTTCATTCTTGCTTTGCACCTGCCCCAGCTTTATTCACATTACATAGGATTACAGAGGCGAACGAGCAGCAGGTAAAGCTTATGAGCAATGACAGATTCACACAACACATCACTACGAACTAGAGTTACAATATCAGTAAAGAAAGACGTCTTTGTCTGAAAAAAGGGAAAATTTCACCACGAGTCCTGACACCTTAATGCGGAATGCAATTGGGTTCTAAACTTTTTCAATTAGCTCAATCAATTCCTAACCCCGTCAATTGGTTCAACTAGATCCTCAACCTTCATGGGAAAATGCAATTAGGTCCTCAAATTATGTTGAAAAGTGCAATTTAGGAGTGCCACATAAGCACTTTTTGAGTGATACATAGGCAATCTTAGGTATTGTTAGGTTTCATTACGCTTTTAGAAGAAGTTTTAGGACTTGATTGCATTCCATACACAACATTTAGGACTTCCTCTGCATTTTCCCCTCCGAGAAAAGAATACCTTGCAAAAACTATATGTAGCATGCCAACATGATATCACCGGGAAAAGTGCAGTGAAAATCATAAATCCTATGTAGGAATGCGATAAGGTTTCAAATCTTTCAATTGGTTTAATCAAATTCTATAACTTTATCATAGTTCAATCAAGTCTTTATGGGGAACACTCCAAGTTTGCCTTTGGCAGCTTTCGATTGCACTTTTCGCTACGAGTTTAGAACCTGATTACATTTTAGTAAAAGTTTAGGACTGAATTACATTTATTGAAAGGTTTAAGATTTAAATTACACCTTATGCTAAAAGTTTAGGGCTTGATTATACCAATCTAGAAGTTTAGTACTCGATTGCATTCCATAGATAAGGTTTAGGACTTGCGGGGCAATGTCACCTGATATCACCAAACCAATAGTGTCGGTGTTGATTACGTCTTCTTCTTCAAACACAGACACTTGACCTACCCGGAAGACATCCTCCGTTTGATTTCGCAGAATTGCCAGTTTGTCCTAAAAACGGAGCCAAACGCGGATCGGTCCGGTAGGGAAGACCGGTTCTAGCCCCCAATTCCTTGCACCCGGCAGCCGCCTAGAGTTGAAAAATTGCGCGATGAAAAAAGAACGACTCAGAAATATGACAAAATTATGTGATATTCCTATCTTTAATCTGATTTAACTAAGCTTAGACACTCTTTTTAGGTAGCAACTGTAATTCTCTCGTCACTTCATCAATTCGAATGAAGAAAGTCTACTTACCACCGTGGCAGCGAAGGGAAGCATTTTTTCCGGGGGCATGTTCATACACAACGCTGCAAGAACGAGAACGAAAGTAAAGCACGTCAAGGACTTCATCTGAGAGAACTGATGCATCAGCACATCGATAGGTTGATGTGGAGTGTAATGCGGTATCTCACTCTCCCATATGATACTTTGTGTTTTATGATTGATGGTTAAATATCATGTGATATGGAGCATACGACCTTCTGCACAGTTCGTGGTGAATTTGCAGCCAAACATTAGTGTTGACCATGGTCTGGCCACACTCGCTATATTTGCATGATGATCTCCGGGTTTATGATTTTCATTTGTCATTTATCACATGACAGAATATATGTAATTTAGTTAGGTTATGGAGTGAGAAACCAAGTTCTGTTATACCAATATGATTATGAAGCATGATTATCTGCACAAACAAGTGAAGCGTTTCTAATTTATGCCTAAGCCTACCATAGAGGATAGCTCCGATGAAAGCATCGCCAGCGCCAGTTGTGTCGACAAGTTCTGATGGTGGTATCCTTTCGGCTGTACACACGAATAATCTACCAGTCAATGACCCGATTCCGTTTGCTTTCAATTTCACCACTTTCTGACAGGGAAACAAATAGTCGTTAATTTTTATTCCAGTGTAAAAGTTGCAAACCAGACAATGTCGTGCTTTTCCAAGCTAAAACAATAAACAGTGCGGGAACAGACAGTACTTCAAGTGCAAAACCAAATTTCTGCCCTAGTAGTGCGCATGCTTCTAATACGGAAAGTTCTATAAACTATCAACAACTGCAGAGCTGCCTTTGAGAGACGACCGATATAAACCTGCTGAGATTGGCAAAATATTCTCCCCCAGTTACACCTAATGAATGAAGTACTCGTGACAAAGCAGAAACTGGAGAAAACTTCTGTATTGATTGTACAGTAGTACTAAATTGAAACCTGCCTTCAATTCGGTGATGATGGAGGAAGGTGGCTTGTGCAAGGCAACTACCATCCGAGACTACTTAGATTGTGTTCAAACATCATATATTGATGATCCTAATTATAAGGTATAGGACTTGGATCCCACGTCGATGGTATGAGACTTTGATGTGTGGTTTATATGGCCTTAGGCTCTCTCATCACAATTGTTAGCTTTCGGGAAGTAAGAAGAGAGTTCATAGTGTATTTTGAATTCATTAGCATAAAAGTGCTTTTACCGAATCAGGCTGCATTTCCTAGACTGCTTTGCTTATAAGCACAGAGGATTGACATGGACAATGGCTAGAGGAAATGTATAAGCAGCGTTTTCAAGAGTAGAGTTAACAAGATATCTGGCAACAAGTTTCAAATAGGAATTCAGTTGGAGGCAGCTTTTTCGCATTCAATTATGCAGTTGGTTGATAGGTTCAATCTCATGATCCAATTTTTTACTAAGCGACTTTCTATTATCCAAAAATTATTATCAGTTGATGGTAATTGTTGAAATTTATGGAATGCTGTTCTAGCATCTGTAACTGGCCTGAAACACAATAATAAGACAAGCAAGCTTCTTTGACATCGACTAGAGAAGCACATTACTGATGGAATGCACATTGGTATGTCTACACTATCATCTTTTTCTTGCTCCAAAGAATGCAATAAGTTATCGGCATCTTCTTCTCCCATCAGAGGGTTCTCTGCTGGACATAAAGTTACAAGTAAGCATCAGTTGAAGGCATTCTCACATAAGGGGGAAAGAAAGCGACAGCCAGAGTCCCGAACTTACCTTCTGACAATCTCTCCAGCATCAGGCATCCATGTTCCCCCAAGGTCACGATTGCGAATTTCAGTTTCGGTAATCTAAGGAGCATGGATATAAGGGCACTAGGCATGGATGGTGCCTCTGTCCATACCTGTTGGTACCGAAAAATCATGTCAAGTTCAGAGTTCGTGACAAACCGAACAGCCAGTAAGCACAAACAACGAAAGCAGACAAAAGCTCCAATAAACGACTCAGACCCTTTATATCAGACGATGTCGACCAAATTTATATGTTCAACAGGTCAAGGTTACTAGTTAACTTATAGCAAATCATCAGAGGAAACTCCTGGAAGAAAGATATACTACTGAGTGATACCTGCGATGTAGTGCGACGAGTTTCTTAGCAAAAGCATTCAGAAAACTAAACTCAGAAAAGTTTTCTTAATAAACAATAATTTGTTAGCTAGATATCAGATGTATTTCCGAGCAGATGATTAGCACCTATATCATCTGGCCAAGAGTTCAAGAATCAATAACAGACAGGACTTCCTTATAGTTGGTTTACCTGTGGAAATTTAGCTGAACATACGACGTAATCGGATAAGTCAAGAAGATCATCCAGTCCTGGTCTTTTCTTTTCTGCATCAAGGAGAATGGGTATATTTTGCCTTGCTGCCTGCATCGACAAATGAGATGTAATCTTAGAATACGAGTGTTCGACGATCGTTCCCAAACAAATCAAGGGAGAGAGTTCCTATTGTACTGTATCTCAAATAGTAAGAACCAACAAAAAGTAGAAGCAAATAGGGATAAATGCACCGAAAGTCTTCAAACTTGTCGCGAAAGTGTAATTGAGACATAAAACTCACAAATAATATAATCGAGTCCTAGAACTTGTAAAAGTGGTAATCAAGTCATTCCCTAAACGCTGTCCAATTTGGCTAACGAAATATGCTGACGTGGCATTGACCTCACTAGAATATGAAAAATAAGACTAAAATGACTTCGTTTTGGTTCAAATCCTCTTTTTAACCAAAATCTTCATTAAATTAGATTAAAAATTAAGAATGCAAATTTTTCTTTGTAAAAAAAGGGGAAAAGCCGCAAAAAACCTCAAATAATGCCTACTGTGACACATTTACCCTAAATTTTTTTCCGTGACACCATATGTTCCAAACTTGTACATATGTGACACATTTACTCTACATCAAGATTCCGTCAATGAGCTTCATTAAAAACCTACCTATATGAATGCCGAAAGGCAAACGATATTGACATGGCACCCATATGACTTAAGTGAAACAAAATCAATGTTGTTTTGGCTAGAAAATTATCTGATAGAACTTTGATGGATGGTAAATATGTCACATAGGTACAAGTTTAAGGTTTTTGGTGTTTTTTCTCCCCCCAAAAAAAAGAAGATATAAAAGAAAAAAACTAGCAGTAGGCCCTTACCGCCGCCATCTCACAATCGCGGGAAAGGGCTGGCTGGGACTTGACTTGGTGAGGGTCGCAAACCCCCAGCCAATTCTAGGCGAGGGTTGCTAGCCATCATTGAGGCCTCGGCGACCCCCTCGGCCCTTTTAGGCTATGGTGGGGTTGCGGCAAATGATAGCCTGCCACTGTTTTTTTTTTCAGAAAGAAAAATTAGCTTTTTTATTTATTAATCTATTTAATTAAGATTTTTGTTAAAAATAGGATTTGGCCCAAAACGACATCGTTTTAGTCTTAGAGAGAGAAAATAATAAAATAAGTCCCGTCGGCATTTTCCATTAATCGAGTTAAACAGAGTTAACAGAAGAACTTGATTGCATCACTTTGACAAGTTTTAGGACTCAATTATACTTTCAAGTTTAGTTTTATGACTTCCAGTACAGTTATCCTAAACAAATAAAATGGCTGTACCTCTTCGGCAACGACTATTGCAGTATCTGTGTATCTTGCATCAAAGTAGACAAGCCTCGCTCCTTCGAGTGCAGAATTTAAGCTCGGGGAAACGTCAGCCGGTTTCATGAGAGGGAATCCCGGTGTCAAAATGCAAGTACGGGTTCTCCTGAAAGTCTCATCAAAGTCAATAGCCATATATGTAAACGCAGGACGTTTTATTAACCTTTTGTTCTGAGAAATCATCCAGTACAAAGTAACACGACAGGACATTTGGCATGGTATCCCAAGAACTATCCTAACTTCTGTCTCTTTCTCAGAATTTGAGCGCAAGGGATTGCAGAGAGTAACCGTATCCTTGAATTCTTAGAAATGACAGTCTTAAATGACTTCCCTCTGCGGAAAAGATGAACTGAAGCTAAGGAAAGGCTACTGAAGATTGAATGAACCGGAATTCGGAACATGTAAGAAGCATCCATCATCTACAGATTTTGCCACTGAAAAGCCAATATCCCTATTCTCGATATCACAAAGTGAACTCCAACACAAAAGATAATAGGATAGGGAAGCATAATTGCTCAAACAGGCTTACAATACTATATGAAATTCTGGTCCAATTAAGGGTGTGTTATTTCGGATAAAACTTCATGATAAAGAAAAATGTTTTAAGTACGCATATTTTCTTTGATCGTAAATGGTTTTCCGTTGACCGATCATTTTCAGCAAACCAAAAGCGTGGAAGTCCATAAAACTAATTAATTCGAAGAAAATTCTTTGACTCAAGCAAACGCATTCTAAGAGAAGAAAAGGCCTCACGTTGATTGGTCGACGATAACATAGGAAAACGGCGTTTGTCCATCCTCGGTAACCTGGAGAAAAGGAAAGGTTTTAGGGAGGAAAAAATCACTCGGGTACAAGATGCAATGCTCTTCTAGGTAACCGCTACGCCAGAATCAGTTTCACAGTGACATCATTCTTTCTGCTGAAGTCTACATAGAAGCAACTGCAGATCAGAACTTGAGCAAAAACTTTAAAGCTGCTGAGAAGATTCCCCTATAGAAAACAAATGATCTCCAAATGAATTACACTAGAATCTTTTGGAGAGTATGCTGATGAAGAAACGGGTTTGAGCTAGATAATCTACTCCAGCTTGATGCGCAAGCTAATCATTTGCCAAGCATATGGAGATGATTACTTCAAGTTGCTCCCTTAAATGTCAAGGTATCAGTTTAAAGCTTACCACGAGAAAAGAGGTATCGACGCCATCAACCGTTAGCTCCTCCAATAGGCTCTTACCATGGATGTCATTTGCAATCTAGTGAGTTCACAAAGCATGCAGAAAATTTTTAGCTAAAAAACCAAATATGGTCCCCAAAGGTACCAGCCAGACATTTTGACTAGATCAAAATGGAAATTTTATGGAAGAATTGACAGATATCCCAACCAGTAACCTTAGACATAAGCCTTGCTCTCACACCCAGACGAGCCAAACAAGTTAAAGCATTCGCCGCATCTCCACCCCCTTGAACCTGACAATAGACAATGGATTTAAAGATTACTCCAGCAATCTAGTTGTCTTAAAAGTATCATTACTGGCAAACAATTTTGTTCCATGACATCAACAAGAATGAGAAATGGTTCGAATGATCAAAAGTAAGTAACACAAACGTTGATAAGCAAAGAAAAAGAAAACAGATTTCCTCCGGCGGATATCTTATCTCTGTTCAATCCTTGCACACTTCTTCTCCAGATTCGTCGCCTTCCAACATCTACATTATGAAGCGGAGTAACATTTCACATGTAACTTCTTATAGTAAAAATGCTTGATGATCCTCTTAATGGGCTAGAGGTCCTCAGTATACTGCTCTATATACTCTTCATCATGAGGATAACTTGGCTCCTACACAGAGCCTATGTGGCCATCCACACCTCGTGGGTACCCGGGCTCTGATACATTTGAATCGACTCGGCCTTAAATGGCGTGAAGTACTTCTCTATATTTTCTTTAGCATGAGAACTTGCCCTGAGTTACGACTCTTTTATCTAACAATAGTCAAGTGAAATTCTTCTCATCCAATGTCCCTTTTCCTTTACGTCGAGGAAGCCCATCTTGGGTAAATGAATCCCGGGCTCTTGAAGTACCGCTCCAACCTAATAGACCATGCAAGACGCAAGCCTAAGCCGGGATGAATGACCCAGGGACTATTTGTACTTCATCCAGTGTGAAGAATCGAATGTATGCTTTGCATCAACTACACAAATGGTCCGGAAGTATTCAGAACACTTTCACTTATGGAAAAGGACGACATCGCTATCGTTATTTTTGTAGGGCGCTCATTTTTATGCTAAAACTTTTCGAACGATCACATAAGTACCACAACTTTTAAAAAGCCATCACTTAAGTGACTTTCGTGATTTAGTTTGCTAGAAAATTTCAGGTCCCATTGGCATGCTCTCTGGGTAGGAAGACATGAGCTCCCCTGTAGTCCTGAGTGAGTGATTTGAGCCTCTTATAAGTTACAAAGAACACAAACCGACGCGAGAACAATCTTCCCATGCAATCAGTCAGCTCCCAAACTTTAAAAACAAGTCCGTAGCTACGAAAGGCCAAAAGTACAGATTGAAACTCAATTTATTTCGTGGAAAATGAACGATCCGGAAAATATTTTCGAAAAAAAAAATGGCTCATATCTCTTACGAAAATGAATAAAAGTATTTTTTATTGATTAATTATTTCGAGCGATACAAGCGATCACTATTCTGAAAATATTTTTTAAATTATTCATTTTTTGAAAAATAAAGGCGAGTGTTCAAAGAATAAATCACAGAGGAAAGACAGGGAAGTACTTTCATGCTCTTGCATCTGGTTTTGTCATCAGGCTTCGGGAAAGTGGACAGAACAGCCAAGTAATCCAGACAGATCCCACCGAATCCCACCTGCGTTTCCGAAAACACGAAACATCAATCGCGTTTGGAGAAGTTTGTTTTTTCCTTCTTTTTTTTTCTTCTCGTTTTCTTCATGGATGCGAGGAGAGGTAATCAACTTTTTTTGTGCTCTGCTTAGACGCGGCATAAATGAAGATGTATGGAAAAAGAGTGTGTGACGCAGACGTACAACGAGGCATTGCGCTGGCGATGGAGGAGCAGATTTGCACGACATGAACGATCTTTTGGTGAAGGAACGAGAATAGCCAAAGAGATAAGAGAGCCAACAGCAGGAGAGAGACTGTTTTGAAGGGAGAAGCAAAATGCTACTCTTTATAGACTATTTTTCCTTCATAGATACGAGAACCGATTAAGTAACAGTCCTTAATCTACCGTGAAAATAACACGTTTTGAGCCGAAAAAAAAAAATAACGAAATTATAAATATAGTGGAGTCCACTCTTTCAAGAATTTGTGACTCACAGGGCAATCGAAAACTAGCAAAGCCCTCTGTATGTATTACATGAACAATATTTTTCCCACATATTATGTGGTGTAAAGAATTGAATTTATGGGCAATCGAAAACTAGTCTGCAGAACTATATGATAAATTATGAATACTTAGGTGGATAAGTTATATGCATATATTTTTAATAAAAAAAAAATCTATTTGATATTCTACAGATTGGATGGATCATGGATGGGAGTTCTATTGGATGAATTTGAGGCCTACCTGACAAGCCGCGTTTGGAATTGCCGTCCAAAAGTCAACAAGGGCCATTCAGATTGACGTCAAATGCAAATTCGAGTTCTTAAAAAAGGCCAATGCATGTAATCAGGAAGGAACATGATTCTCGACTGGAAAGTCATGATTCCGATTATTAATAAAGAGGCATAAAGTCATTAATAACATGCTATTGGAATCTCGTTAAAGTAAGATGAGAGAGAGCAAAAGCTAATGGAAATAGAATAGTCCGGAGTTTCGAATAAAGTCATTATTCACCTCGATTATTTTGTTCTTAATGGATTCAAGCTTGTAAATCACGCCTCGGCGCCCTTTATATGTTCAGCTTTCTGCCTGCACCTTGATAGTGTATCGATCCTAGTACTCGATACCCTTGTCGATCATCATTAGTTATATGTCGTCGTATGTCGACAACGGATTGGTAACTATCACCGATGTGTGCCAATATCGATACCAATCCCGATGGTAGACGATGAGTCGCGTGCTTGACATTATTTGACGCTATAATCTTGTATCTACTCAAATCGACGACATAGTTACTATTTGGTGCCAACATGATCAAAGTTTCTGTTAGTTCGTGTCTCTCTTTTGCAAAAATTAATAAAGAAACCTGTGATGTGATGCAAAATTATTACGTCATCAATACTTGGTCCTTACGTTTTTTAATTTATATGAAATGTGGTCCCTGTGTTCGAGGGCGCTAATCAATGCCTTACGTGTTGACCACTTCCAAAAAGCAATTAACTTTGGGAAAATTCCTAACAAGGCCCTCTGAAGTTGATGGATTTTCTCAAAACAGGTTCCAATAAATATTATCTCAAATAAGAATATAAAGTAATTATTGAGTGATCTGAAGTGATCATTTGGTCTCAAACAAGGGTACGAGTTTATCGACCGATCAAATCTTCGTCGGTCGGCGAGCATGTGCTTATTCCGGTGGCACGAGCAAGGGCATTTTTGTCCAAAGTCATTTCTTTTTTTTTTTGATTTCTTTTTCTTTTCCTTTTTTTTACTATTCATCTTCTTCGTGCTGGGAGCAAGATCGTGAGCATCATCGTCGTCACCGTCATAGTCAGGTCATCAATGGTGGCCACACGACCCATCCTGTCCATGTGGTCTCCCTCACCTCCAGCACTTACGGCGTGCTCAGACGGGACAGCGACGAGCGAGGGTTGCCTTCGCCACCGCCGCCCCCGCAGCAACAAGAAATCACCGTACAGAGCAGAAGATTGAAGGGAGGGTCGCCGGCTCGCGGCGAGGAAGCCCTGAAGTCATCAATGTGTGGGGAGCTCATGGAAGGCCTCGACGCCGGCGAACCAAAACCGGAAGACTCCGAGCCCGAGGCCGCGGGGACTGCTCCGAGGTCTCGCGAGCATCGACGCGAAGACTCCACTCAAGTTCATGAACCAGATTGGTTCTCCGAGGAAGGCAAAAACTTATGGCGGCGTCGAGCTCGATAGCGAGGAGGTAGTTGAAGAACTGACGTTGTTGGCGTTGAGGAGGCCCAGATATTGGCTGGGCAGGGCTGGGAGGTCCATGGTAGCAGAGACGGCGAAAGGTGAGTCCATGGCCGCCGAGATTCGAGTACTCGGTGACTGCGACGAAGACGAAGGAGGAGACGTCGCCACCCTGAGGGCTTTTGAACCGGAACGGGAGTAGTAGAAAGCGTGGCCCATCAGGCGACTCACCTCGTTGGTGAGCTTGAGGACACCATTGTTGTTGAAGAAGAAGATGGAGGCGAACTCGAGAGCTGCAACTTTCCTCCAAGTGCAAGCATGAAGAAGATGAACAGTGAACAGATAAAAAAAAAAGAAATATCTTTGGACGATTATGCCCCTAGTTGTGTCGCCGGAATAAGATGTGCTCATTCGCCGGTGAGGATTTGGCCGGCAGACAATATTAGGCTCTTATTTGAGACTACATAATCAGTTCAGATCCTTATTTAAGACAACGTTCACTTCGGACTCTCTTTTGAGAAAACTCATCCACTTTGAGGCCTTATTTGAAATTTTCCCATTAACTTATGACTAGAGAAAAAAATTGGAGCGTCAAAATCGTTCGGTCCGCGTTGTTCATCCACACCAATAATTAGGTGTCGCTTATACTTTGTGTGAATAAGTTTGAAATAAATAAAAGGAGAGTGAGCCGTGACGAAGTCGGGATTTTAAGTGAGGGGAAACGAAATTTTAACTACAGTGTAGCTAATATTTTAGTTAATTTTCGGTACTAATGGGTACCTTAACGAAATCGACTCAATAAATTAGTAAAAAGTACAAAAAAATTCACAGAAATGAAATTGGATTTGGTGTTATATATACGAAGATTTATTGCATGTTTGGTTCATAGTAATACTTATTCCATTCTCAATCAATTTCTTATGAAATAGTTATTCATTCGCCTGAAATACCCTCGATGTGTCTACTCCCTCAAAATCAAGAATAGGTATGCCTTGAAAGGGGCCAAGGAATATCCATGCAGTTATGAGTATATTTAGTTTTATTTTCAGAAATTACATTACATTTGTATATTTAATTGAATTTAAAATTAATTAATATAACTAAGATAAGAATATTATTATGTTATGTTTGAATTATCAATTGTTTTCGATCATTATTAACCAAAACAATAAAGGATTGAATTATAATCTGTAATTAGACTATGATCTAAAATAAATATAATATATAATAGAAGATGAAGTAAACATCAATAATTAAATCGTTATATGTTTATTTATTTAATAAATTATAGCATAATTAATTATAAAAAAGAATTTAATCTAAATAATGTATCTATAATTAAATTAAGTTCATCATTAATTTTTTATTAAATCACGATCATTACATAATTGGTTTTCCCAACTTAATTATTTAGAAAAATAATGTATCACTTTATATCAAATAGTGATTAAAATTAAACCAGTATATATGTTTATATGTATATATATTTATATATCACTTTATATTTATATATTTTTGAAGCGTTAATATGTTCTAAATTTAACTACAATATGATTACGATTTTCTCTATTTGTTAATTTCGACTGCACAAGATATTTATAAATTCATTTTAAACTGAGAAACTTAATACACCGTGACAATATTTTGAGTAAATAAATGAATTATATATCGCAATTTGTGGTAACTATAAATAAAAATGTCGTAACTTATATTCTTAAATTATAATAACTTATCATCGATGATTTACTAAGATTATGAAAATAAATGGAGCCATGCTTTAATTACAATAACAAATAAAACCCATAAGGATTCATGTTGAGCATTTCGTTATTGTTCCTAAGTAATACCTCCTGCAATTCTGGTAAAGTTAAACCAAAACATGGGTGTCGAATAGGTAGATTTTTTGCCAATAGGCATGTAGCCTTGCGGGTAAAGAGATTGGGGGTGATGACGCTAGTATCACAGATACGGAGTTCGACTCTGGCGCTCTGTAAAGAAGCATAGCAAAAGTCAGAGAGAAAAGAAAGTTAGAGATAAAACAGATAAAAAAAAATAAGTAGGTATTTGTGGGATCTATATTGCGAAAACCAAAACGGAGAATATTGCTGCGCCCACTCCCACAAAGTAGACATGACATCTTTAACGTCTTCCAATCATCGATCGAATCGAACGTCACGGTAGGGGATGGGAGTAGGACACACTAACTTTTGATTGTAAGAATCCAAAAGGAAGGACCAAAGCAAACACGAAAGTCCTTGGGCCCTCTCGAGCATTTGTCACGTGTCAATTCGGGGTCAATGTAAGAGTCCCACCAATGCAGTAGAAGTACCATCAATCCATAACAAAAATCGAGTTATTCTCTTTAACGAATGCCTCCGGGGGGGCGTTTCTTAAGTGCATTTGATTTGAGCTCATTCAATTTACATGTCATTGATCGAGTATTAACAAGATAATCGGTGCATGAACAACTGTAAAATTTCCTTATACTGTTTGTCAACAACTAGCTAAGGGGACACTCACTAGCATAATCTTAATATGTTTTTTTTTTTTACGTGTAACCAGGTCAAGGTGATTTTCGGGACAGCTTTCGGACCCCCTCGATTGCTCCACACCTCTCTTAGCAACATCCAAGGCTCACGCTTCCACGTGAGTTTGGTGCATTTGGGATTTTGCTGGCGAACTCCTGTCACATGTAAACCAAACGCTTTGTTGGGAAATTTCTCGGAGATTATTCCAAGAGCATCCATGTCGAGCCTCGAGGACCACATGGAATTTCCAGCTACTTATAGACTTCATAAAGGAGGGAAGAAAAGATTGGAGGACGTCTAATTTTCTTTTTCTTTTTCTTTTTCTTTTTCTTTTTTCGGCTTTATGGGTCGATGGGTGGAACACGCTGCAAGAAGAAAGAGCAATCCTACCGGTAAATTTACGGTTCAATATCACAAAAAACCCTAAACTAGTACATCATTGATAAAATTTAATCCCAAATTAATTTTTTGACCACTAAAAACCCCAAACCGATACACCTGTGACAAATTTACCATAAATTAATTTTTTAACAATCAAAAATCATAAATTGATATATTTGTGATAAATTTATCATCATTTAGTTTCCGTTAAATTGGATTAATACCACGAAAAATCACAAACCGATACACCTGTGATAGATGGAGGATAAAACCTCGAATCGATATACCCGTCAACTATCATGTGTCATCAAATTCGGTAATTTGATAATTTAATTTAACGAAAACTAACGAATTGTAAATTTATCACGAGTATATTAATTTAAAAAATTTGATAAATATCTATTGTAATTGTAACGATTTGAATTTTCCGTAACATGAACCCTAAATTAACGAGTAGACTTTTGACTGCTTGTTCAGACTTTGCGACTTTTGGAGTCCGTCAAAACAAAAGAAAGGAAAGGAAAATTGCCGGTAGATCGCTGCGGTTCGTGCGATGCACGTAGGCTCTCCGATCCACGAAGTGCCCTGAACGGCACCTGCACGAACCACGTGGTTGCACCAGATTTCGAAGTTCGATGTCAGACAAGAGGAGAAAATGCTGGGTTGCACGAGCAAGACAGAAAGCGTTAAATCACTCGGGGAACATGGATCGTCCGCGCCCCGATTACAGCCTGGGACGCAGAACTAAACTCACGGGATTGTTTCTCAAGGTCGAGGATTTGATCGAGACGGGCCCACGGGCAAAATATGCGTTCCCCATTCTGTAGCTAGCTATCCACTCGTCAATGTTTATTCTAAATCGAAGAATCGTAGTCTTTTCTTTCGTAAACCAAACAATCAAAATGGGTGCAATGTCGTCCATCTCCTACCAACCTTCTTGACTCCGAATTACTGATTAAATGGTGAAAATGTTATTAATTTGAAATAGATTTATCATAAATATATAAATTTAAGATTTTGTGACCTAAAATCAGAGTAGGATAAATTTATCACAAATATATCAATTTAAATTTTTTGATAATCCAAAAATTAATTTCGAATAAATTTATTATAAATATGTCAGTCCATTTCCTGTAATATTCAATCGATCAAGTTAGATGCGACAAATTATGGAGCCTGATGAATATTTTTTGTCAGAGAACACGGCCCTTGCCCCCCTCAAAACGTTGAAGTGATTGGTTACACTTTCAATGGGAGAGGAAAAAGACAAAAACGTCGACCGGGGAAGTCTTTCTTTTATGGCCGACCAAGTCAATAATGTCGACGGGTGCGGGCCTCATCGCCCCGATATCGGACGAGTTGAGTGGGCAATAAAATAGCGACCAACGACTAAGTACACGACGAAGACTAGACTTGCAAGTATCGCCAACGTTTCCGAGTGGACGGACTATCCACCGGTCAGTGACAAAGCTTTGAATAAACAAACACCAAACCAACCATAACATTGGATTTTTTCCTTTCGCGGAAGATGCAGATTAATATTGTCCGAGCTTGACCCGTATGAAGAGGAAAAACATGAGCTGATACCGCTGCAGACAAGGGCAGAGAGTCTGAGAATTTGGTCGATTATTTCAGAGCTCTGAAACTTCAGAGATATCGACAGTCGTGTGTTTGGTTATCTGCCGTGACTCACGAGGGACGAAATCTCGTGCCGACTTCCTCCCTTTTCTTTTCTTTTTTTCCAACTTTGATCTTTACGTCGCACTTTTAGAGATTTAGTGTTTATATTGACGGGGCAAACAACGCCCCCACTTACCCCCTGCCTAGGGTCCAGTGTATATCCGTGTCATCCGGGTGAACTGTATTTGTCCTAACGTAATGAAACTTTCGTGTGCTTACGGCGATCCTCATCACGGACACGATGGCCCCACCTCATCGTTCGCGTTAAATAATCGGACTAGCTAGGACCGCAGGGGCCGGTAGGCAGACAAACGACATGATGCGGGAATCGACAGCAAATCGTTTAAGTACTCACCAATGGAAATAATGCATAAAAGGGGAGGAAAATCTTCGGTTCGCTAATGATTCCACCTTGTCTCTCTCGTTTGTCCTCCAGATTCGCTCTTTCGTCTGGTGCCTCTCCGCATTTGGGAGATATCAGCTCAGAAAGGGCGCTAGGCGCGGATCTGTGCAGTAAGGGAGACTCGTTCGAGCTCCCAAAGCTCGACAATTTGCAGCAGCCTGACAATTAGATGATCGAAAATTATGAAATGGACTCTCCAGCGACGAAATAAATCTTATGGAGACGTTTAGAACTCTAGTTTCGTTCATACAAACTCACCACTTGAGCAGCAAAGGGCAACAGTTTTTCTGGTGACATGTCGGCGCAGATGGCTAAAAAAAAAACATAGAAAATTATTAGCATCAATAACAGCCAAATCTGTCGGCGAATCCCTGAAGAAATATATCATCCAGACTTATGGCCATGCTAAAAGAAGTGCTAATTGACGTTTGACAAGTAGCCAAAAAACATGTGCTACAGCCAAGAAGACTGACTGGAATAAATGGTTGAACTTCTTGAATACGGCCATGTAATAAAGCTGAAAGAAACAAGTATAGAAAAATGATCCAGCATGTGAGATTAGATTGTGCTATGGGAATGGCCTGAAGAAAAGGACTAAATCCCTAATTGGGCATCATGCCCCTCACAGTTTTACGGAAATAAATAATCTGGAATGCACCATCTAATCTGTAGTTACTTGGCCTATGATCAATTGATTGAAGTCCCCGGAAAGTCAATATATCAGATAATAACGAGTGAAAAAAAATTCCGTCAAAGAATATGGCCCCAAAAAGAAAATTAAAGTGCTTTTGATGCAGTAAACAATACTGAAGTCAATAACTGAAGTCGTGCTCATACTAAACTAATCATGTAGATGGACATGTTGGTTCGTGATCACTTGATAGATTTTTGGTAGATAGCATGGAATTTATCTAAAGAAACCATTCGCAGTTGACTAAATATGTACCATATAGGGTAGCACCAATGAATGCGTCACCAGCACCAGTTGTATCAATAAGTTCTTGTGGTGGTATCTTCTCAGCTGTTCCCAAGAGTAACCTCCCATGCACAATTCCTATCCCCTCGGCTTTCAATTGTGACACCGACTGAAAAGGGAAGAGAAAGCGAGATGCCTTAGGCCCCAACCAATGTTACTATCATGTGTTTTATTAATAGAACTAATCACTGCAAAGAAGTGAGACAACAAGAGAAAAAGAAATGCTTTCAGAGCGCAAGGATTGGCCTCTCAAACAGGTTGCACTTGGGAAAAGTGACATTAAACAGCAGAAAGTTCCAACAGATGAGAATATGTATATTTTTTTTTTAGATAAGAATATACTTAACTACACAACTATTTGGTCACTGCACAAACTTCAAAAAAGAAATCATAGTCTGCAACACATTTGTTCCAAGAAAGTCATGGAGGCTAGTTATACTGATTCATCTCTATGTTTACTCAAATCAACTCTTGATAAATCAGCTCCGCCAACAACCGCTTGTCCACAATTCGCAATGGGTCCTTTCAAAACAAGTAAAAAGAGTAGAAGATATCGTGCATGCCGTACAAGCAAGGGAATATGAACTCCTCAGCTAGAAGCCCCACAAAAGGTTGAGCTGTGGGTGGCTCTGGGAACTACATAACTGACGAGGTGACTTATTATGTTGCATGGGCATTCCTTCCGAATTGTAGGCTCAGAGGTTCCACTAAAAAACTAATAACAAATTCCACGCTCCCCAAAAACTTATGTTGCTCTCGTGACTTCAACTAACTACAGCCCTAAATTTGCAATCATGACATCTATAATAGTGTTTGCAAGCATACACTACCGAGGTAACATATGTTGGAATGGTTGCAACATCATCTTTTCTCTGCTTCAGAATTTCTAGCAAGTTGTCCACATCCACTTCTTCTAGAGAATTACCTGCACTAGGGAAAAAGAAATGAATATTTTCATAGCGAACTCTTGCACTTCCGAACCATGCAATTCTTTGCTGAACTAAAGAGAGCGCTGTCCAGCTCTAGCCCTAATTTGCATAAAGATAAACACAACTGAAAGATCAAAACTTGAGCATCTGAAGTGTGAACTGACCCTCAGTGCTCCGCTCGAGCATAATGCACCCTTCACCACCCAACGTCACAATTACGAACCTCAGATTTGGTAACCTAAGCATCAAGGATACAAGAGCACTAGCAACAGATGGTGCATCTGTCCATGCCTGTTTCATAAGAAATTTTAGAATGCATATTAAACATATTGTAACATTAGCATACAAAGAAGATGCAATCACCACAATTAATAATGAAGGTTTATAATTCATATCAAACTAAATAAATTTGAAAACAAAAGATATCTTTGACTGCAACTAATGGTACTGAATGAAATTGAGAGAATTGACATGCTAATTAACATGGAATAAGGTTATATATGGAAGAAAGTTGACAAGATCAATTGTGTTTTGCCAAAATGAAAACATTATACAAGTAAAAAACTTCAGAACATGCCAACAGTTAAAAAAAGATGGCACTTGGCGGACACCATACAGACACAAATGCTTCAATGGGCATTGCAATTCTTCCTAAAGCTTTGCATAGGCAAGTAAATGCTTCATAGAAAACCAACTTGCCTGCGGAAATTTTGCAGAACATACTGCATAGTCAGCCAACTTCAAAAGGTCATCCAAACCCTCTCTTGGCCTTTCTGCATCAATCAATATAGGAATTTTCCTGCGAACAGCCTGCACTTTAAAACCCAAAATGCCAACTACTCCTCAACAAGTCACATCAAGCTTCTCTTTTTCCACTAGATGCAAAGCAAAAAAAATTGGAAATAATTGTAAATTACAATCGGTTTCAAGCAACATGCTTATTTGTGCTTTTATTGTTCACATTCAGAGACAGCAAAAGTAGTCCACAACCTAATGCTGATAAGATTCCAAAATACCTAAAGAAGATAAGACTGCCATGCTTAATTAATCATGTCGACGAAAATCACAATAACTCCTGACCTCTTGCACAGAATCTTAACGAGCTTTCAAAAGTCCCACAAGCAAGAGATACCACAACAGCGTCCAAGTGATTTGGCTTTGTCAAATTACAGATTCCAACAATTCCGTGGGATTAAGCCCAATAGCATATTATTTTGCGAGTTTCCAACATCATAACTACTCATGCTATCACCTTGCGAGAAGCTCAACATTTCTATGCACAGATGTGTGTCAGATCTAACACCTTTAAAAGGGACAAAGTCTAACAAAAGCATTAAGACGGTGAACGTAAAAGAAGGAAAAACAAAAAAAAGAAATCAAACACAACCAGAATCAAAGGAAAAAGGAAAAACGTGCTTATGCTCTACTTTAAATCGATTATTAGAAGAAGCAGAGAAGAATTTCAACCAAGATGCCACACAAAGTGCATCTGAGTCATATTATGCCTACGCGGGATTGAAGTGGATGACTGGCAGATGAATGTGAAAACAGAAGGTTCCAAGATGAGGACTATTAAAATATTGGTGCCAACAATAACAAGAGTATATATGGTTCTCTCAATACTTTTACCAATATAATCACCTATCTGCACAACTTGAGCAAACTTATGTAAATGGAAAAAAATTAGTTACATGAAATGGATAAACGGAATTTAAGAGAGAAATAAATTATTGAACAATAATAACACAGTCATAACCTCATGATATGGCAATTGCCTATACAAATTCTAAATGCTAAGAACATAACTATGTGACAACGTACTTGAACTTGGTGTTGAGCTTCAGAGAGATTCATTTGTTGAGCTACAATAATTGTCCAAAAGAAACCACTATCACACCTACTTTAAGTTGGTCTCCAAATATTGAATTCAGTTAAGGCCCATTTGAACTAAGATTTTTCACTAATATCAATTGCATAAAACTGATTAGCCGATAAGAATTTCATTATTCCATCTGCAAAATCTACTGCATCTTGTTTGGAATTACCCTAACATGTGAAAATTAAACCACAAGCAGTCACCATAGCTGTAGGCCCTTCTCCTCCTTAATCCCTACACATAGAGCTCCAAAAAGAAAAGCTTTTCCAATCCTAACAAGCATGCAACAGTCAGATGTTACTTCATAAAACATATTCATGAGCGCGATGGACTAATCATAGCTTATGTGTTCCAAAAGACAATTACCATGATAAAATAATGAGTAGATCCTGCAAAGCTGTAAATCTAAAACACCTAATATGGAACAGCTTACATCTTAATGATTCTTTTCTTTCACATTGAGCATCCAAATATTTAAAAGATAGCTGTATAGAGACATATTGACAGTTGTGACATCTTAAACCTCAGAGTTTGGACCCTATCAGGGGTCTATAGGCCAACTCATTCCCTGTAGACCAATAAAGAATGTGTAATTGAGTACAGACAATAAGTGCACAATATATCCAATTGTTATGCAGTTATCCCTAATTAAGCTTTCAGGGGACTCGCAGGACAAATAGATTAATCCCACAGCAATAATTGTTTAAAACAAAAAAGAATAGCCTCCGGCATTAAAAGAAATGCTTGATGCATTACCTCTTGTGCAACAACTAAAGCAGTTTCATACAACCTCCCATCAAAGTAGACAATCCTTGCTCCATCAATTGCAGATAGCAAGTTTGTTTGTGAAAGGTCATGCGGCGCCATGGGTGGGTACCCAGGGGTATGTATACATGTACGAGTTTTCCTGCAAGAACATGTGAGAACTACTATTAGTCTAGGGTGTTTTTGCTGATCTAAGCAACTTTAGGTATACGACAAATCCAATCGTACAAAATACAGTTTTTTGGTGACTCTCTCTCTCTCTCCCAAAATCTGAAAGTGGCTGTGCACGTGCGTGTATTTTTGCTGCCATGGCAGTGGAGTAATAAAATGAACGTGCCCAGTATACTTTGAGCTATAACGAACTTCCACAGAATCTCATTAGGCCATAAGTTGTCCATCCTGAAATATCAGTAAATGGCTTCAATTGGCTAGGTTATTACAAAAAAATGAGCATCAGTGCAACTTGTTCTCTACCTCTCGACTCTTCATATTGGATTAAGAGAAGATTATTTTACTATTAGTCATATGACAGCTAATAAAAAGATATCACAAGAAATGGACCATAAATGCAATGCATCTTACATATCTAAATTCCCTTCAATAATGTACACAGCAAATCGGTGTGAGTGTGAGGAGTAGAGAAACATGGCCATTGTTTCTGCATTTTTTGGGCAATAAAGGATTATTTATCTCTTGACAATCCTGCCCTTATTAAAAAGAGATCCCAGCTTAAGTTTGTCCCTACCTGTAATTAAGTTATGAAGACCAGGCTTAGTCAACAAGGGTAAATAATCCAACTGCTCTTGAACCTAGAAATCTGCTAGCACTTTAGATTCATTTCCAATTTATTATTGTCTTTAAAGCTTACTTGTGGTAATTGAACCTCAAATTTGAGCCCGAAAAGGAGGGGGGGGGGTGTTCGTAGCATTAAAATGAAGATTCTCACGTTTGTTCATCAACAATGACGTATGTGAATGGTGAATTACCCTCCTTGGAAACCTGAAACAAAAACACAAAGTAAGTCAAAGCAACAATAAGGTTCTCAAAGCCATGGAAGATTACTCTTCCTCAAGCTGTTCTGTTTGTACTGAATGAGATATACTCGAATTTCTAGCTAACACAGAAAGAACAATTATTAACTAGCTGATGAATAAAAAAAAAGAATTAATAATAATATGACATACGATCAAGGCAGGATCCTAAGACCGTGGCAGACTAACAACCCGAGCAACAGAGTAACTGCTGCAACTCTTGAGGAGAACTCAGAGAAGTAATTAGGAAACTGACGATGTGAGATTCAACAAGCAAGTGGCATTTAATATTTAGTTGGAAAAAGGGCAAAACCATAGAGTGTACTGCAAATAACTTGTCATTTGAGTATTTCAGAAGAATCTCTCTTCAGGTGCATCATCTACAAGCATACATGAAATACATAGAGAGATGAGAAGGAATGGAGGATCATTAGCCAAATTATTAAATTATCGCAAAGAAAAGTTAAGCATAGTTGGAAGTTGAAATGACAACAGAAGAGAACAAGAACCAACGGTTGGCATTTATATGATAAATTAAAGCTGCTCCACACTTATGTCGATATCTCAGGCTTTTCTGTGATTTCCACCATTGTTTCATACAAAGTTTTTGGATAATAAACCAATGGATACCATAGAAAAATTGTCAGCTTCGGTGAAGGGGATGATTTTGAGAAATATCAAACTAATGTGACCTTGTACCACAAATGTAAGAACTTCTCACAACAAAATCAAGCAGGCATATCACGCATAGCACTTTGCAGCAAAAATGTTCCTCATCCCGCAAAATATTTCCCATCTTGACCATAAGAAGTGATCTATCCACCTTAAGGTAATCAAGAATTGCCACATTGCAGATATTAACAAAGTTAAAGTTTCTTATGGACTTTCAAAAGTGCTTGGGAAATAATTGGAAATTTATAGTAAAGCTGAAATTATGATTGCAAAGAAGAGCAACAGTATCAACACTTCCAATACTCCAATGCTAAATGTTTAGAATCACCCAGAGGTTTTGATGTCTAGAAAGGTGTACTATATTATGGGAAGTGTCTTGAAGGTGGTTTATAAACAGTTGGATCAGTTCATCAGAATCAAGGAAACAAGAAGCATTCGAAAGATCCAAAACTTTCTGATATTAATGAAAAGAACTTTTAAATCGCAAAACGAACAACTCGAAGGATTGAACAAGTGCCTTTTAACATGTACAAGTGAATGACACGTATCATTTGTGCCTCTGCATTATTTAATTATTAGAATGATAAATGAATGAGATGTCGACACGTTACTTTATCAAAGACAATGACATCACAGACTAATTTTTGCAGGCCAATTTATCAATTGAAATGACAATCGGAGCTCACCACCAAAAAGGAAGTATCAACTCCATCAGCCTCCAGCTCTTCCAATATACCCTTGCCTTGGGCATCATCGGCAACCTAATGATTGTCACGTATTGTAGAAACTCCACAACACAAAAGCAATATAAATCTGCAAAGAGATGTTTTTACAACCTTCGAAATTAGCCTCGGATTCAAGCCCAAACGTGCAGCGCAAGTCAAAGCATTGCCAGCATTCCCACCGCCTTGAACCTAAGCAAGGTGCACCCACCAGATTTCAAAATCGCAATCTAACAAAAGCAACGGCACTATCGAAACCTTGTAAGCGCAATCGTCCATCTACAATGCACACAAACCTCAAGGCAACTAATAACAAGCAGGCAAACGAGACCGTTGAGCAAACTCGGCGGCGATCACCAGAAACTAGGATGCTCGGCAGACTCGAATGCAACAAGCAGCTAAAGTAGTAGAGAACAAAGATGAGGAAGAGGAAGTCGATCTGAGGGGGCGGGGAACGAGCAAGGACCTTCAAGCTGGTGCTCCTGATCTTGTCGTCGGGCTTGGGGTAAGAGGCCACCGCCGCCAGGAAATCCACGGACACCGATCCGCAACCTAGCTGCAGTTTTTTTCCAACAGATAGCGGCGTCACTTCATCTGACGCCCCGGAACTCGTCGAGAAAAGAAGCGACGGGCGAGCCGTCGCGAAGTTCGCGCGGGAGGAAGAGGAGGACGGACCACGACGCGGCGGTCGGGAACGGGGGGAGGAGGAGGAGGAGGGGAGCGATCGGAGGACATCGTGGCGGAGCTCCTCCAGCTCCTGCAGCCGGAAAAGAAATCGACGGTGCGCGAGTCAGACTGGAAAGCGCGCATCGGCGACTGTAGACGAGAGAGAGCGAGAGAGAGAGTGTGTGGAAGGAGGACCTGGTGGAGAAGCTGAAGCGCGTCTGCTTGCTGTAAGGCGGCGGCGGCGACGGAGGCGGCGGCGGCGGAGAGGCGGCGGCGAGAGCGGAGGAGATGGCGTTGGGACAGGAGGAGGTCATCTTCTCTCCGACGGTGCTGGGCGTGGAGAAGGATTGTACTGGCTAGACGAGCGCAACGGAATGCTCTCCTCTCCTCTCACTTGGTGAGCTTAATGCTTTCGGTTCACGCCACTGTTTCCTTTTCTTCTTTTTTTCTTCTTTTCCTTCCCTTATTTTAATTCATTTTCTGATAAAAATCGAAGGAGAAAAATACGTGTGAAGAACTATTTACGCCGACAAGGTTCTTTATCTTTGTTAAAAAAGAAGAAGACAAGGTTATCTATCTATTTCCCTGCCTAAATTCTTCTTCTTCTTTTTTTTTTATCGAAATCCTATCTAAATTCAAAAGGGTTAATAACGCGAAAAACTTCTGACCGGTACGCATGCGACAAATTTACTTTAAACTTAAAAATCCTAAACCGATATACCTGTGATAAATTTACTTTCCGTTAGCTTCCTTCGAATTTTATCGTTAAATTTGCTGACGTGGATAATGTATCCACATGAAAATTCATGGGATTAATGCCACGAAAAATCTCATACTAGTACAGTCAATTTTATCACAGGTATACTGGTTAGTGATATTAACCTTATGGATTTCCTGTGGATTTGCCACGTATCATTCCATATCACCATGTGTCATCCACGTCAGCAAATTTAACGATAAAATTCGATAGAAACTAATAGAGAGTAAATTTGTCACAAGTATACTAGTTTTGGATTTTTTGTAGTAAAAAACTTAGTTTAGAGTAAATTTATTACGTATGTACTAGTTTAAAATTTTTCGTGGTATTAATTAAATTCAAACAGTTATTTGAGTTTGTAGAAATTATAAAAAAATAATAATAATGTAAATTCGCATGTCCACATTTATATGTGACAAAGGACCTCGGTACTTCAGATTAAGAAAAAAAAAATCTAAAACGCACGCGCCACAAAATTTGCAAAGAGGAAGAAAGTCAAATGCAAAGGCCGCTCTAGACAGCATTGTAAATCTGCAACCATAAAGTTTCCTCGATGATAGATAGAGATGAGCACGAAACAACCTCGTCTTTACATAAGAACTGCACTTCGAACCCCCTCCAGATATTAACGAAGTTTGTTGGGTGTGTTAAGGGGCTTCTGGTTAGGAATCAGGGATCGCGCGTTCGAATCCCACAAATTGTACGCAAATCCGTTTTGTGATTAGAGACACGTACCAAGTACAAGGCCCGAATCTAACCGGTCCACGCGCTTCGCGCCCTAGAGAACTACACCACCGTTATAATCCAATCCAATTTGGGAAGCTACAAAAATAATCTCTTGATAATTACTCCCGCTTACAATTCTTGTTCCATAACTTATAATAAAAAAAATTACATTAAAAAAAAATTCTACGTGTCGATATATTTTAAGAAAGTTTTTTTTTTATCAACCATCCTGATTTAAATTTAAAAATAATTTCAAAGTGCTAAATTCACGAATCAAACTGATCACAAAAAAAAGGAGTCAAAACATATCCACTAGAGCTCGGGCCCACAAACATTGGCAAAAAAGTGAGATTACAAGAGGGACCAATTTAAAGCCTCGCAAGGGCGGGGGCCGAACGGTAATTTCGACTAGCAGTCAGCCAGGTGATCAACGAAACGAAACAGCGCGCGACGCCGTCGTTTTAAGGCAAATCGCGAGAAAAATTTATTATTAGAGTGAAATCGACGGGGTTTTCGCATCCAATTCATCCCAAAGCTTTACTCCTCCAAGCAAACTTCCCTTTCCCCCCTTCCTTCCTTCCTTCAAATCGCCATTTCTCCACGATCCTCTGCGAATTCCCCAGAGAGAAGCCGCGAGCTTTCCGTCCTTCGTCTTCGGGTCAGTCCTCTCTGGCTCTCCTAATCCTTCTTTTGTGGTGGGTCGTCTCCTTCTTTCCGTTTTTTGATCGCCTCCTCGCGTGCGGGTATGGTGAATTCGTGGGATTTGCCGATGTGGGTGCCCCTAAAATTTCGAAACTTGGTCTCGTTTTCGGCCTTTTGATGCTTCATTTCTGGTTGCCTCCAGTTGGTTTTCCGGGCGGTTATGGATGGTGGAGCCTCTGGGCATATTAAAGCTGTAGCCTGTGTGTTGAAGATGTCCGTGGTTATATCTTAGTCTTTGTTGGAGAAATTGTCTTTGCAAAATAGGATAGCAAGTGTTGGGCTTTGTGAGATTTGGGCTGTTGGACTGATTCGCGGGTTTCGACTGATTGGCTCTATATGGAAAGAGGTGGTGCTAGTGAAAGCTCTTTTGGAATGTCTTCAAAATGATGGCCACCGAAAAATCCAACTTCGACTGTGCAAGGTACGAGAACCGGCTACAGTGATATAAAAGTCTCGGGAGATTTAATATGATATGGAGGATAATCTAACGGTGTTGGGTGCGGAAGGGATTATAAGGAAGGTTGAGTTTGTGAGGATCATGATTCAATGCCTATATTCCTTGGGCTACTCAAAGTCTGCTTATTGTTTGGAAATCGAATCCGGGATAAGGTGCAGATCTGCGGAATTCGAATTGCTTGAATCGCAAACTCTCAATGGTAGTTGGGATGATTGTATAAGTACGCTTAACTCGCTTGAGGATTTGACCGATGGCACGAGGGCGTCGGCTTTGTTTTTGGTGTATAAACAGTACGTCATGGAGTTTCTGAAACAGGGGAATGATTCTTTGGCTCTCGGCATATTGCGGAAAGAGATTTCGACTTCAGGGCTTGATAGAGGAAAAGTTCAGAAACTCGCGAGCAGTATCCTTTCTTTAAAGGAAATCAAGTTGTGTAGTATGAATGACAGAGCTCACGAGCCTCGGAAGAATTTATTGATGGAGCTGGAAAATTTGCTCCCACCGCCATATATATTGCCAGAAAGACGGTTGGAGAACCTGGTTGAAGCTGCTGTTACATCCCAAATTGACCGTTGCATGTGCCACAATTCAGTAGATGCAGTTTCCCTCTATGAGGACCACTGCTGCAATGGGGATCAGTTGCCAACCGTGACCATTCAGGTAACCATTGCTAGTGTGTTATCGAGCACATGTTTGTTTCATTACAGCTTTGGAGTCTACAGCTGATGAATGAATTCTATCACATTGGATTGGTGGCCATCCTTTATATTTTAGAGTGACACTGTTATCTTTGAATAAAAATTTTATTATGCGAGACTTCACTTATTATCCTCATTAAATCCTTGTCCTGCCTCGTTGGAACTTGGAAGAACTTTAATATGAGGAAATGCAAGGCTTGAATCAACTGGAAGTGAAGCCCCAGTGATTTTACTGAAAATTTATTCCGTGTAGTTGCAAGTCCATGCGTAGCATAAGTAGGTTACTAGTGCAAAAAAAACTTAAAAGATCGAAATTTAATGTCCTTATTTATTTATCCTCACGTTGAATCAGCATTCAAGCATTTTATTGGATTGCATATTTTCACTTAGTTATGTGCTTGTGCATGCGCATATGTGTTAGTGTTCAGTTTCTACCTGTACTGGTGAAAAAAAGTTGAAAGAACCGGTTACTTGTCGTGCGCAATATGGCCTACCTACACAGGTAATTCATCTGCCAGGATTTTCGCTTACTTCTGTAAAGCTTGTCGGTTTCTGATCACCGAATTGGATACTTAACCCTGAAAGATGTCAATTTCGGTCATGTTAACAATTAGTGGAACCTGAAGTGGGGATTGTAGGCATCGAGAAAATAAATAAACCTGAAATAATTTCAAGTGCAGTCTCTTGCTTCATTTTGGTCTTTTTGGCCTGCATGTTTAGCTTGCTACTTTATTGAATTACATTGTGTTGCCATTGCAGATTTTGACTGACCACAAAAATGAAGTATGGTTTGTACAATTTTCTCATGATGGAGAATACTTGGCCTCTTCATCGAGTGACTGCATGGCTATCATATGGAAGGTGGTTTCTAGATTGTATACTGGAGTGCTTACAATAGAGTGTATCAATTACTTACTATTGTCAATTGCGCTGTTTAAGCAGTCGAGGAAGCGGGATAATATTTAGTATGTCATTCTGCGGTCTAACGCTACTTTTGTATTTAGAGATATTTTGGTGATGTTTTTTGCCCTGCAAAAGGGAACCATTTTCTAGGCAACAATGCTCATCGAGTCCGATAAACATAGTATATTGAGAGCAGTTTTCCACAATTGGTGTTCCTTTGGAAATTTCTTTTATTTGTTCTACGAATTATGAATGAATTGCAAGTTTGAGTTGCATACGCTTGTTATAGCCAGATCATGAGGTGTGATGACATGGTCTTTCTGATGAACATAATATGGACATTTCACTTTTCTGCTGAGCTAGTCCAGTTTGAAGCTTTCGTATATATCCACTGCTTTTGTTTCTCCTTTTTTAAAGAGGAAGGATTTATTGTTTTTTGTGTACTTGTCCATTTATGAAAATTTTCCACATAAAAAGGAGAGAGGGAAGCTTTTTATTATTTTTTTTTTTTTTTGGGGGGGGGGGGGGGGGGGGGTGACTGGTGAGGAGATGTTTCAGAGCTTTTTGTATTAAAGCTCGTTTGCATTCTTCATTTTTTTGTGGAAATCTTGTTTAGATAAATAGTTAACATTTCAAGGCCGGCCTTTTAGTTATGTATGCAAGCGATGAATTGCAAGAGAATGTGGCTGATTTTTGTTCACGGTGATAGGTGCTTGAAGATGGTAAAGTAGCGCTGAAGCACATCTTACAAAGCCACAAAAACCCTGTATCTTTTGTAGCATGGAGTCCCGATGACACGAAGTTGCTCACTTGTGGGAATGCAGAAGTTGTCAAGCTATGGGACGTGGAAACAGGTACATGCAAGCGTACATTTGGAGATCATGACTTCATTGTGAGCTCATGTGCTTGGTTTCCCGACTCAAAACGACTTGTCTGTGGCAGTTCCCACTCGGAAAAGGGCATTTGCATGTGGGACTGCGATGGGACTGAGATAAAAGCATGGAGAGGGACGAGGATGCCCAAGATTTTAGACCTTGCCGTCACACCAGACGGAGTAAATCTTATTAGTGTTTTCTCAGACAAAGATATCCGGATATTGAACCTAGTGACGAATGCGGAGCGAGTCATATCGGAGGAGCATCCTATTACATCACTTTCTATATCAGGGGATAGCGAGTTCTTTATCGTCAACCTAAACAGCCAGGAGATTCACATGTGGGATGTTGCTGGGAAATTCGAGAAAGCAGCGAGGTATTTAGGCCACAAGCAGGACAAGTACGTGATACGCTCCTGTTTCGGTGGGTTGAACAGCAGATTTATTGCCAGCGGCAGTGAGGATGCACAGGTATGCTTCTTGTTTCGGCAAATCCATTATCCGCTCCACTTCAATAGCTCATAATCTGCATGTCACTGGTGTTGTAACGGACTATGGACGAGGACATACCATTTTGATGCTATATGTGTTCAAAGGACAATTCGAATAACTTTTCGAAATCTTGGCAGGTCTACATATGGAACCAACGGAGTCCTCAGCCGATAGAGATTCTGTCTGGCCACAAAAAGACCGTGAATAGCGTGAGCTGGAATCCTAGGAGGCCTCAAATGCTGGCGTCGGCTAGCGATGATCAGACGATTCGTGTATGGGCTCCATCTGGATCCAAGAAGACACCGCGCTCGACAGCTTGATAAAGTGAGAAGACAGTAAATTTTGAACCCACTTGTACATAGCTGTTGTTCCTTCGATTTTATTCATCTGTAAAATTTCCACAGCATCTTCCACGCATCTCTCTGAAAAAAATTTTGGCGAACGTTTATTTGTGCAGTGTTCTTGTATCATTCCTTCATTTGTTCTCTGATGAGATGGTTGGAGCCGAATAAATGCAATCTTCCATGTTCCATTGCAACATTGTAAACGCTATCTGTTGCTTGTCGGGACAGCTGCTCTTGTAGCTTTAGAATGTGATATCTCCCTAACAACATGAAGTCAATTTTCAGACATACAATGTCGAAATTGTAGTTATTTTTGCTATGATTAGAGAAGTGCCAAAAAAAAAAAAACATAACAAAAGGTAAAGAAAATAAATCATAAAATTAATAATTTGAACATAGGAAAATGTAGGATTTTTTTACCACGATATTTAAGTGATTAATTATTGAAATAAATAAATTAATTAGCTCTAGCAAACCGTAATCTCTCTGTCGGCAAGCCCCCTCTCCCAAAAGAAAAAACCCTCTCTCAAAGAAACTTCACCTATAGGCTGTAAGCTTCAATTTCTGAAGTCGAGAGCTTGCTTGGCTTTGCTTTACTTTTCTAAGCCTTGATTTCCTTTTTTTTCCTCTCTCGATCTAATCTGAGTCTTTTTTCGCTCGTTGTTATTGTTTTTCTTCACTTGTCGTGATGAATAAATATGCTTGCAATTGAAAATTTTGTGAGAACGCTGTCACCAGTCCAACTAGCAAGGTGCCCGAGACATGGTTTATGACTTCTTCAAGATTCGGCAGAAACTCTCTTCTCCCAATTTAGATGTAGATCTAAACTTGGGAGCTTTTCTCTCTTGATCTAAATCTAGAACTTGGAGTTTTTTTAAAGCTTTTCTCGTGTTTCCCGTACTAATCAAATCTAATGAACTTAAAGTAGAAATATAACTGATGAATAGATTAACTCAATTTAAATAATATAATATGTTAAAGTGGAAGGATCACATTAGCAAATTATTAAAAGGGTTGGAACTAAATTGACCAAATTGTAAGATTTTAATATCCGTAAAATAGATCTATGGCTTAATTATTTCCTAATATTGGCACACCAATTTCCTTTTTTGTGGATGTTACTCTCCAATCTTCAAAATGTGCCTGCACAATAATCCAACCAGCTAATCACCCATCGATCTTATCTTCAATTTGCGCGGGACACCCAATAAAATCCCTGGCCCATTTTCTTGGGTGACCACGAATCGCCAATCTCCCCCTATTCGAAGGTATCATCAGTAGCCTTCCCAAATTTTGATTTTTCTAGATTAATGATGGGATTTGTCAACCATCCTACGAAAAAAGTCCTACTTGATGAGGCCCTCCAATCACTCGCTTGAAGTGTCAATCAATATCGTCGGTGTGATTTAGGAGCGACGCTTTAGGAATATCTAGTAGCTACTTCCAAAAGAAAACTTAAAAAATCTTCATTAAGGGCGTGTAATCTAATTTGCACGAATTAATTACCTCAACCAAAAGATATACCTTTTCGTCCAATCCACCTTTTTTTTTTGGAATAACTATTCACCACCATCACATGGTTATCGAAGAACAATTTTATCATGATTTTGAAGTTGTAAACCTAATTACCACCTGGCTGAAAATAGTGTTTATATTGTTTAATGGATTTATGATTTTTTAAGAATGATTATGAGAAGAAAAAACGGAAATCTTGTACTCTAAAAGAAAGGAAAATAGTGGATTCGACAAATTTAGAAACTGATCGACTCAAGCTACTTAAAAGTTCGAAGAAGTTCAAGATCTCGAGATGGGTTAGATGTGATTGGATTGGTTTGTGATTAAGCAAAAGGTTTGTGTTTGCTTGCAAGCCTCGTTACAGATTAATCGATTCTCCACACTAATTGGTGTGAACAACCTCAGGTTTGAGCCATTCTCTTGTATTCCGGTTTGCATCTTACCTCATCGATAAAGTTAACGAGATACTTCATAGGATCGAGTTTATCTATCTAAGATGGAATCTAATGTCATCGTCGCAATATGTGCACACGAGAAGAGAGAGATGTCGCATAGCTCTAAGTCTAGATAAGGTTAAATTACAAGAAAACATATTTTAACTCGTTTTGACCGCTATATTTTTCCATGAAAGCCATAATTTCCTCCGGTACTGATGGTCAAAGATTTCCTCTAATCACTCATTCTGATTGATGACTTATGAATACGGATATCAATTACATTTAATTTTAATTATATTTACATAAGATGGAGAAAAGTGTAACCATTTCATGTTTTTTAGTTTTGTTTACCATATGAGAAGCATGTATTTTGGTCTAGTAAATTAGCACGGTCACAATAGTTCATGGCCTCCCGGAAAAAAAAGAAGAAAAAAAAGAAGAAGACATAACAATTAGATGCTTGGTCCTTCCGCATTAGAAAGACGAAGGTACTCGATGCACTGGCTCGTACCGCTAGGTGCTTCATGCAATTTTTACCAGGTACACAATGTAATCTATCGGAATTTATCGTATTTCATCTATTAAGATTCATATTGAAAATCATTTTCATTTAAAGGTGCGTTTGTTACATGAAAAACTCAAAATTTAAATGATTAATTATACCACTCAGAAAATTTATCACAGAGAATATTTTCATTACTAACAATAAATTATACTTAATTATTTTCACGGGTGATAAAAATATTTATTATCTATTTATTTTTTTTAAGTGATATAAGCGATAATTCTATTTTTCGGAAATAAACGGACCCTAATCTTTGAATTAAAATTTTTGCTGTCGCCCATCGAATAGGCAGTTGCCACGTAGCGTGAAACAGAGAGAGAGAGAGAGAGAGAGAGAGAGATGTTCTATCTTTTGCACCGTGCACTTTTGGAAGGAGGGTGGAGACAAAAAACGGCCGTCCAAGGCGCATCCTAACCCAAAAAGGGCAGGTGGAATCCCATCCAGAGAGATTTAAGAAAAGAAGAAACAAAAAAACAACACCATGGAAAAAATATCTAGGGGGGGGATGACCAGTCAAAGGGAGCATTAATAAAAGCACATTTCAAAGCACCAACCCACCCCCCTAAGCAGATTAGTTTGAATGGGACCTGCATTGACTGTTATCTTTTCTTTGACCACTGGCCAAAAAGATCTTTCCCTGATCACCCCACCACAGCCTTTCAGAACCAAAAACAAATGGAAGACTGCCAGAGAGAGAGAGATGGACAAATTCTAATTGAAAGAATTATGATTCGATGTGAAGAGATCAAGTCACAAGTGAGAGGGAGCCATTGATCAGAGATACAGTACAAGAGCTAGCTAGCATGTGGAGATTGACAATACAGAAACTGCAAAACTGGAAAGAAGAAAGAAGAAGAAGAAGAAGAAATGAAAGGTGGAATACTAAGAAGAAGAGGAGGACTCGAACTTGTAGTATTTATCGACAGCAACAGAGACATCCCAGGTGCAGCTGAGTCCCTTTGGGATGATCACGAGATCTCCAGCACCAAACTCCACAAATTGGTCTTCTGATGATGATGATGAGGAGGAGGAGGAGGAGGAGGAGGAGGAAGATGACCCTCTTGGATAGACCTTCACTTTGCCCTTCACCAAGTAACACGTCTCCTCGGCATCAAACTTCAGCTGATATTTCCCTGGTGGACAACCCCACCTAAACAAACCAAGTGCCCACAGAAAAGAAATTCAGGTTCTTGTCGCGATTAAGGCGAGAGAGAGAGAGAGAGAGAGAGAGAGAGAGAAGGGTTTTACTTGGGCCAACACTTGATGTTCAATTCAGACAATTTGGACTCCGGGGGGTTTCTTTCAACCAGGATTCTCAGGTTGTTTGCTGAGGAGGAGGAGGGGTTTGAAGCACTTGAAGCCATATAGGAGTTGTACGAATATGTGTAGCGAGAGAAGGTTCTTGGAAGGTGATGTGGAGAGAAACGAGTTGCTGTTCCTCTTTATAGGTGTGTTTGTGTGTGTTGTGTCTGTACCGTTCTGTGCTTGCTTCTGGAGAGAGAACAAATAAATAATAATAATAATAATAAATTCCTTTTTAGAGTTGAAGTGAGAAAGCATAGGAGAAACTCTGCGATTATAAACATTGTAAACATTAAATAGAGTAATATATCCATATTTCCAATTTACAAAGAATTATGATTTATAATTATTGGTCGACTCAAGGTATAATATGTCTGAGGATACCTGAGTGAGCTAGTTTTTCTTTTCTTTTTTCCAATGTTCATGTGTTAGAAAAAAAAAATACACATGAGATAAATTTGATGCCGAATTTATATCGAGTCCCACAAAAAAAATTACTTATTTACAAGCGAAATATATTTGGCGAGGAGCTAGCCTAGGTTGGTATTTTTTTATTTATTAATGGTCCAACCATTCTCATAATATATATCTGCTTCATTTCTTGCTATTAAATATAACAATTCGAATCTCTGATCTCAACTTTATAAAAGTTATTTTTTCAATATAAAATTATTAACAATTCGCCTTTAAAGCACTAACCAATTGAGTCAATTAGGAAACATTTATTAATAAACTTTAACCAGCGTTGTGAGTATACTCCTTTTCTTTCTTTCTCTCTTCTTTTGAAAAAAAAAGGCAATTCCATTTTGGGTAATGAGTATGACCTCTCTGTGTTGGTATGGAGAGAGAGAGTGAGAGATTTGAGACTCGTCTGGCTTTAGTTAGTTACTGAAAATTAGGAGACATTCAGCATTTAATGATATTAAACGTTTGCACCCACCCATGTACATATAGTATGATAATCAAGGCAAGAACCTGCCAGATTTTCATCATAAAAAGGCAATAGTGCCCTAAGATGTTATAATAATCTCTGGAAGTAAGAAAATTCTTGCTGACACATCTTTTTATTTTCAGTCTTTGCACTGAGTTACCAACTCATAAGATGTCATTGTCATATAAATAATTTATGCTATCTTCATAGCAAGTAATTGGTGCCAAAAAAAAAATTAGTGGCACGGGCAGGTGATTCCTAGTTGATTGTCTTGCAAAGCTATTTTGACCTTTTTGACTATAGATATGTTATGCATCAAAGCAAACAATATAATTTGGGTCTTATATCAAGCCTTCTTTTTCTCCCTTACTAAAAGATATCTATAAATATTAGAAACCCTTGAAGCAAAATTTGCAACATTTCTAATTTAGTAGGTGTTAATTACGAGCAAAATCATATTTGTCTTCTCAATTACATAGTTTCACGTTATAAGCTTAGGCCAAAGTACAGCCTATGCGTGAGAGGGACTACTAGAATACTTAAATATCAAATCATGCCTTCATTCAACAATTCAAACTTTCTGAACACTCAACCGCAGTCCCACAAAATCGAGCAATGTTTCCCTCATGTTCCTCGAGCCAAAGATAGATGAATTCCAGCTTTTGCTGCTTTCTGGTATCGGATTTCTTCTTGCCTTCCAAAACCCATGATGTTATATTGCCTGGTTGACGGTCCCTCTCTTAAAAAAAAAAATAGTACGATCATTCATGGAGTAGTTGAGAAATGCGTGAGCAAAACTTTTAGAACAGTCAGCTGCGGTTCTACAAAATCGAGTGGTGTTTATCTTGTGTTCCACGAGCGAAAAGCAGATGAATTCCAACTTTTGCTACTTTCTAGTATAAAATTTCTTCTTGCCTTTCGCAACCTATGATGTTACATCACTCAGTCAATGGTCCTTCTCTCCAAAAAATAAAAGAAGTATGATGATTCAGGGAGCAGTTGAGAAATGCGTGTGCAAAACTTACATGTGATTAAATTTTTTGTCAAATGATTGATAATACTCTTTGCCGGTGGGACAGCATTGTGGAAAGCCACTCGACTCGCCTCACCTTTTCAAACCCTTATAATGTGTTCTTTTCGGTGGAGGCGACATTGCATGTTATTGAAACTATACATTCTTTATCGTCTCTCGGGCAATCACTGAATTAAAAAATAGGGTATTGCTCCAGATGGGCTTACTTCTGGACAAGTGTTTGTTGCCGATGGAAGGAATGCACCCAAAGAAAAGAAAAGAAAAAGAAAAGGTAGTTGATGCAACGAGGGTTTCAAGCATGTGATGTTGATATCTGATCACGTGATAATATGAAATTTCGTTCGTGAAGTCTCTGACAATAGAAGTGTGTGCGGGTCATTTGGCTGAATAGAATAAGGAAGGATTGGGTAGGGCATGAATGAAATGGGATATGAGTTCTTATATCCTATCTCTAATTATTTAGTGATTTGATCGGTAGAATGTTAGATACGAACGTGAACTATGCATTGATTGTTTGTCATCAGTGGAGGAGCATGCGTGATAGAAATACTTCTCTATGTGAATGTTCTGGCTTTCAAAAGCACCGGCGGAAAGGGAGGGCCTGCCAGGCCGTATGCACATGGGTGCAGGATTCTTCAAAAAAGCGCGGGCTGACTTGGAGACCTCGGACGTTGGCTTAGCAAGGGATGAAGGGAAAGCTATGACAACTTTCTCCGTCAGCGGCTTATGTAGTGGTCGGCCTTCTATAACTCATGAGATAAGGTTGGACTTCATATGTGTGTGTCAATGTTTATGCGTGCGTATATTGGACAAGCATGGCCGTGATCACAAGAGACTGATACGAGGGAGAGAGAGATTGTAGTGACTATAGTTATGGTAATCACCTTCACCTCGGTGTTGCAATATAACATCACTATCGTCGAAGGATGTTTGGGGGGAGTGGGCAAGGAGGAGTGTTTAATCAACCCCGATTTACCGGTAAATTTGAAATTGAGAGAAAAGGTAGAGGTCAAGCTCAAAATCGCTCTCTTCTTTGTCGTCGTCATTGGCTTCTTCTTCTTCTTCTCTCTTGAATATTTGTATGTAATTTTTTTTTTTGATTCTTCAACTCTTTTGACATGTATAGGAGAGATTTTATTTGGATTTATCTCACTCCACATGTGAAATTTTTATTTTATACGTATTTGAATTATCGGCTAAACCCAATCATAGACTCAGCAACTCAGGCCCAATTCCCTAAAAAGCCTCCAACTTTAGCCTTTGTCCCAATTATATTCCAAACTTTTTTTGTCTCATAAAAAACTCTAAACTTTTACTTTTGTCCCAAATCTACCCCGTTTACTATTCATCCAATTTTTTAATTTTATTTTTTATTTTTTCGAATTTTTTTCTTTTCTTTTTTTTTGTTTCACTTCAACCTCCGGCCGGTCGCCGGTCCGGCGACCGGCCAGAGGCGAGGACCGGCGAGGTCGGCCCGCCTGGTAGGCGAGGTCGGCCTCGCCGTTCTTGGGCGAGGCAGACCTCGCCGGGCCGGCGGGCCGAGCCTCGCCAGATCCGGGCGAGGGTCGGCCTCGCCTGCAACGGCGGCGAGGCCGAGCCTCGCCCGGCCGGCGCGAGGCTCGCCTCGCCATCGGCCCCGCCGCAAGCCGGCGAGGTCGGCCTCTCCCAAGCAACGGCGAGGTTCGGCCTCGGTCGGCCTTGCCCAAAGAACGGCGAGTTTAGCCTCGGCGACCTCGCCAGTGCCGGCGGGCCGATGGCGAGGTCGGCCTCGCCAGTTGCTAGGCGAGGGCGAGCCTCGCCAGTGCCGCGGGCCGACCCTCACCAGATCCCGGCGAGGCTCGGCCCGCCGGCCACCCGGCGAGGTTGGCCTCGCCCAAAGAACGTCGAGGCCGAGCCTCGCCGGATATGGCGAGGCTCGGCCCCGCCGGCATGGCGAGGTCCGCCTCGCCCAGCAACGGCGAGGTTCAGCCTCGGCCGACCTCGCCCAGCAACGGCGAGGCCGAGCCTCGCCAGCGGCCGGGGGGGCCGACCTCGCCGGCCCTCGCCTCTGGCCGGTCGCCGGATCGGCGACCAGCCGGAGGTTGAAGGTGAAAAAAAAAAGAAAAAAAAATAAAAAAATTCGAAAAAATAAAAAATAATATTAAAAAATTAGATGAATAGTAAACGGGGTAGATTTGGGACAAAAGTAAAAGTTTAGGGTTTTTTATTAGACAAAAAAAAGTTTGGGATATATTTGGGACAAAGACTAAAGTTGGGGGTTTTTTAGGGAATTGGGCCCAGCAACTCACTAGACCCCCCAACCCCATTGTGCTTGAGCACAATTTGGACAACCTTGGCCTAGCATATTCAACTCTTAAGTGATCGATTGGAAGGTTAAGCACTTAATTCGAATATATCGGACTCCGTTTCCACACATAGTGTCTCCCGTTCAAAGTAATCACAAGGGCCACACCTGCTAATCTACGAGTGGAGTTTTACACGATGCATGTGATTAGAGCAATTCGTGAGCAATTTTCTTTTTCTTTTAAGATTAGTCGAGTCAAAGATTTGGATTCTCGCCCCAGATCGGTCAAGGTTGCATCTCAAGTCTTTTGTGAGGTGGTGATACTTGAATAGGTTAATCAGTTGCATTTGAACTAAGGGTTTCATTGCTCGGCCCAAATCCTATTGGGTCATTTAGAACATGCTGCAAGGAATATTAGGGGGATATTGCAAAGCAAAATGTCTGGTTCGGTCAAATCTATTTCATTTCTTTGTATGTTAGTTCAGGTAGCTGTAGATTTTAATTCAGCTACACAAACCTAATTTTCGTACTTCAGCGGACTAGACACGTTAGAAATGTCAGAGGGCATGTTTGGATAAATTTTTACTTTTCATTTTTAATTTGATCTAAATCTTGTGACGTACGCACTTAAAATCTTTTTAGGCAAAAATATCCGAAACTTTCGCAATATACAAATATTGATACGCAGATTCACATTCGCCAGACATGCAGAGCTGAATAATATCCAAATCCGATGTTGTTAGATAGAGCCCACCGGATTTAATAGGCACACCATTTATGTTCAATTGGGGTTGGTACAATGGAACGGTTCGGATCCAATTCGAGACCTGATCGAAAATCTCGAAATCGAGAATCACGTGCAGGTGATAGTACTACCTTTCTATGTTCGACAGTTCGTTCGCTTCCGTCTCAAATTAGACTAAGGGTACGCATGGTAACATTTCTATTCCAGAAATCAATTTCTGGCAAGAAATAGATTTTTCTATTTCTATTCCGTGGACGAGTTTCTGAGCAAAAATGTGTGTTTGATAACGACACAAAATTTCTATTTCCGAAATAGAAATTTGTTTGATAACGATATAAAATTTCTCCCTTTCGGGGCGGCCGGCGGAGGATGGCGGGTGGCGGCGGTGGGAGGCGGCCGGCCCAGCGACGGATGAGGCGATCGGCGGTAGGCGAGAGGCGGATAGCGCAGCGCGGATAGCTGCGGCGATTCGGAGCGGGCGGCCAACATCGGGCGGTGGAGCACGGCGGCTAGCAGTGGAGGACGGCGGTCGGTGGTGGTTGGCCAACGGCAAGAGGCGGCCGGCGGCGGAGGGCGGCCAACGTCGGGCAGTGGAGCATGGCGGCCGGCTGCGGAGGACGGCAGCCGGTGGCCGGTGACGGCCGGCGTCGGGAGGCGGAGGACGATGGTCAGCGGCAAGAGGTAGCCGGCGGGAGAGAGGCGGCCGGCGTCGGGCAGCAGAGAATAGTGGTCGGCGGCAAGAGGCAGCCAGCGTCAGGCGGCGGAGAACGGTGGTCGGCGGCAAGAGGTGGTCGACGGGCAGGAGGCGGCCGGCGGCGGCGAAGGACGGCGGGAGGCGGTGGTGGGCGGGTTGCGGCCGACGTTGGGCGGTGGTGAACGACGGAGGATGACAGTGGGAGGAGGCGGTCGGCGAAGGACGCCGGCGGTAGGTGGTCGACGGTGGGAGGCGGTCAGCGGTGGCAGGAGGCGGCCGGTGGCAATTGCGAGTGGCAAGAGGATAACCAGCTAGTAGCGAGTGGCAAAAGGGTAACCGGCTAGTAGCGAGGGCAAGTGATAAAAAAAGTTTTTATTTTTCATTTCTATTCCAGAAATAGAAAAGTAATTTTTTTTTACTTCTGATTTCTGTTTCAAACCTATTTCTGGAATATAAATTTGTTCCAGAAATAGAAAAATGAAATTGCGTTACCAAGCGGATTTCGATTCCAAACCTGTTCCCGGGAACAGAAAAATAGAAAAACGGAGAAATAGAAATGTTACCATGCGCGCCCTAAACATCTCCAAGCATAATGTGGCGGTGAAAAATCTACTTTGGGAAATAGCTTAGCGAGAGACGTATTTCGCGAATTACTTCACGGAATGGAATTCATTCAGGTCCCTAATGCTGTCCAAATGCTCCGATAGTCCGACATCGGTTCCTCTTTTGTGTGGTGGAAGGAAGGACCAGACAAAACAAACGTTTGCAGAGCGTGACCGTGAATGGACATAGGTCCCGTCGCGACTTTGGATTTCCGTCGTGACGGAACATGGAAAATCTCGAGGTGCTTCACGTCACGGTCCATACAAATCGATCGTGTCAAGGGTCTAATCTTACCGGAATAATTTTCCTTTGAAATGAAACAGAAAATTCTATACAATCAGTATACTACATATGGGAAAGTATCAACTGTCCATGTACCAAAGGTATTCAGTTTTTTCGGTTACTTAACAAGTACCGAAGGTACTCGTAAACAAAGTCCTTATCAGATTCTTATTGGACCGCAGAATATCAGTAACGTCGGGAAATCGGATAACCAGGAACTCAAGTGACTGGGTAACTCGTATGGCTACAAGTAATTTGGACCAAAGAAGTTGCTTGACGACAATAAAGTTTAGAGAGACAGAGAGAGATGAATTACTCGAGGAATTTATTGTTCATGTGAAAAACTACATACATTTCTTGCTTATTGCAGCATAAACAAAGAAGAGGCGATGAGGTGAAAACGCACAAGTAAACGGAAGGCTACCGAGGCTCATCGTCGGGAAGCAAATACTCCAACCTGTCAAAAAAGGAAAATCAGCATCAAGAATGCATGAGAACTAGTGTAGAATTGTAGATTTTTCGTTTTTACGTGAGTTTAAAAGTTGGGGCCGGTTACAACAGCCTGTGTGGCCGCAGGAGGGTCTACAACCCTATACAGATAGGATTACAACGCATATGCTTAAACTAGGAATTCATCAATGCATGCATTTAACTGTGGGGACGGTCTGGCAAACAAGTCTGTGATGCAACTTTTTACCGTGGCATACAAGATACATACCGCACGGATTATTGTTTACAGAAGCTCTACTACTAGTGCAGATGCACCTCCTCCACCATTGCACACGCCACTGACACCGTGCTTCCCGTTTTTCTGCTTTAGCACCTGCAATACCACAGACTTTTGATTAAGAAAGGCGAAGTATGTTGCCATACTAAAACCATTATGCTTGCAATTATCGCTTCAGATAGAATGGAGAGGAGAGGCTTCATCATGCAACAGTACTACGGTACGAGTTGGAGCAATGGAATGAATTAGAACTGTACCCCCAAAAGAGTGGCTATGATACGAGCTCCACTGCATCCTAGAGGATGACCCAACGAGACAGCACCTCCGTGGACGTTAATTTTCTCCTGTACATACATGTTGGGATGACAAAAACCAATCAGAAATGCAAATCATACTTCATAGTAACTAAGATATCCGCATGCCACAGAGACAACTATAAGGCAATCACACATGCACTTGCGCTAGAGCACGACTCATGACTAAGTGGTTCAATTTACCGAGTTGATTCCCAGAAGTTTTTGATTTGCCAGAGCCACAACCTGCACACGAATCAAACCAACATAAGTGATCTCCTGATATCAATCTATCTCTTGAGGAAAAAGATAAGCACATAAACATACAGCAAAGGCTTCATTTATTTCATAGTAGTCAACTTGCGAGGCCTCCAAGCCAGCGTTTGCGATAGCTTTCGGAATTGCAAGGGCTGGAGCTGTAGTAAACAACTCTGGTGCCTGCAAAAATTGAGCTCAAATCAGCATCTATTAGCAGACTCTGTTAGATGTATACAACATGCAGTTTACAATTAAACATATTCGAGTAAACTTTTCTTCCTGCAGCATGCAATCTATCTCCATTACCTTAGCAGCATCAGCATATCCTGTGATCTTCGCAATCACCTGAAGCCCAAGCTTGAGTGCTTTTTCACCACTTACTAACACAAGGGCTGCAGCACCATCACTGAAAGTTTACAGTATACATCTTAGTCCAATCTTTCAATTAAACCATAGCTAAATTTAAGCAGTCTAATGCTTGGGATATGTCTATATCCTAAACATTAAAATGTTCATCAAAAGATGCGGCAAATGTCCTAGAGCCTAAAGTTGTGACATTGGTATCATACAAATAGCAGACTATCATGCAGAAACCTGCATGAAAATTCTCTCAAGCATTTCTACAAATGCTGGAATTGGTGTCTGACGTGATTCACATAAGGCGTTGAACAGTAGTAAGCAAGTTAGGTAATAAGGCAGGCTAAGATAGACAAGACAGATCTGCCTAAGTGAATACTCAGCAATTTCTGGACTGAAATGTCGTACTGTCATGTACCACACCTTATGCTAGAGGCATTCCCTGCAGTAACACTGCCTCCACTCTCCTTGAAACTTGGACGGAGCTTTCTCAGCTTTGCAGGGTCAAACTGAAAAAACACATAATCATGTCAGTTCTTGTACATAATCAAAACATCATGTGGTTGTATTTATGGACATTTATCAGTTCTGTTTGTATTTACGAACACTTAAGTACTGACTTTTATTAAATGGAAACAGAGTAGTGAAAGGGAAAAATATCTCCGAATATGCATATTAATCCAGTCGATTTCTAGGATGGATAATTTTTGCGCATCACTGCTTTGTCAATGCTCACTACAGTTATGGTTTACCTTTCCAAGACCTTCATCCTTGTCAACAACTGTTGGTGGTTTCCCCCTTCCTCCAGAAACTTCAACCTGCATAATTCCAGGTCAACATTAGGAAGGATGCGTAAAAATATCATGCAGCTAGCATTAGTCAACAGGAACTATAAGTCCCACCGGCACAATTTCCCATGCAAAAGCACCACTGTCTTGGGCAGCAATTCCCCGCTCAAAGCTCTGAACAGCATAGTTATCCTGCATAATCAAGGAGAATAACTCGATAAAAGAATCAAATTGTTTCATGCTTATTAAAAACAGTAACTCACAATTCTATCTGAAGTACAAAAGAGGCTGGACATAGCAGCTTGAGAAAATAAGATACCAAGTATCTAGCTCTAGATCCATTAAGCCATGTGGCGTCATTGGTTTCACTGTCATTCAATTAAGCTCTACTCGAAAAAATGCAAAAGTATATAGTGCGATGAGGCCCTCAGGCCAGTGGTTGTCCAGTGAAGAAAAGAAGAAATAAAGAGGAACGATGGCAAGAGGGAGGAGGGCTAGTCCATTGTTACCTGCTCTTCCCTTGTTATGGAGTGCTGTTCTGCACATATTTCAGCACACACTCCCATTCCATAATCATTGTAGACATCCCAAAGACCATCCTTTAACATTCCGTCTACAAGTGAATCATGCCCGAGTCTAGACCCCTTCCTGCAGAAAAGCAACTCACTTGTTGAGTTCATCTTGTGCTATCTACATTCTTTTCTGGTGGAACTTAAGTGGCAATGTCATGGAATTGCAAATCTTAATTAGAGCATGCTTAAACAGTAAAATATCTTGGGAGGCATCAAGCAAATCCAGAAGTAGTGAGCAGGGGCATTCTTCTACGATGTACACAATGGTAAAGGAAGATATTTTTGGGACGACTAACCTTGCCTCAGCAAGATATTTAGGCACATTAGACATGCTTTCCATGCCACCTGCCACAACAACATCATTGATGCCCAGCTGGATGCTTTGTGCGGCAAGCATAGTTGCTGTGAGAAAAGAGAGACAAATAATAAGCTTATGGCAGGTGCTTCACAAGTATCAAATGATAAAAAGCTCACTCATTAGTGAGAAATAAAGCTAATCAAAACTTGAGGAGAGTACCTTTCATTCCCGATGCACAAACTTTGTTGACAGTAGTACAGACCACTGAATTCGGTATTCCAGCTCCTAATGCAGCTTGTCTAGCAGGAGCTTGCCCCAAGTTTGCACTGAGGACATTGCCAAAGAAAACCTCTTGTACTGATGATGGGTCGACATTCGCCCTTTTCAGAGCAGCTTCAGTTTCAACAAAATAAACAATTATTGATATGAGGGAAAAAAAAAATTTAAGCACTTAGGAGCAGTACACTAGGAAATGCCTAGAAGAAATGCTGCATCTTTACCTTCAATAGCTATGGAACCAAGCTTGGTGGCTGGCACAGATGAAAGAGTACCGAGAAACCCACCCATCGGTGTTCGAGCAACACCGACGATGCAGACATCTGTTTATGGTGACAAAGATGGATAATACGGTTATTAACCATACAAATCTCACCGTTTTTTATATATCCATGTCTTGATATATACCTGACCCGCTTTCTTAACGTATGCACCATTCAAATTTTCAAACATATGATATTATTTCAGGGATCACTGCAAAATTACATCTCCTTAACAATGTTTGTATTTTCAATTACTCGATGACAGAAATAAAGGATCGGATGAAACTATAATTACTTCAAGGATCACTGTAAAAATAGATCTCTAAGGTAGAATTCATAATTTATTTGATAAGAGCAACAAATTGATGGGATACTTCATGCAGATGACCGGATCGGTGCTTGGCATCCGATCAAGTACCTCTCAAACGTCAGCCAGAAACTGGATTGAATTGAATCAGAAGAAGGGGAAAATACACTTTCCTAAATGGAAGTGTTGGCACATATATATTTCTTACGTGTTTCAGAAATGTATGAGGCACATTAAACAGGCCAAAGGACATTTTAGCCACTCTAGCGGAACGGTGGTCAAACTCGTTTTTCTAATTTGTCAACTCAGCCAAAAAAATCGCCGAGACAGGGCCATCACCCACAACTTCTCCCATACAAGAAGATTTCTTTAGAACGTCAGAAGGCAAAGTTAAACAAGGACCCAAAATATCAATCGCGCTCAATCCGGTGCGACGGCATGAAGAAGACTGAACATCAAATCAAGCTCGAGTAAAGAGCATCACCTCTCGGCTTGACACAATCTGAAGAAGCCGCGGACGCAACCGGAGCCATGGATTCGATGTACGAAGACCTGCAGCACGAACGAACGAACGAACGAACGAATTAGTCACTCAGAATTAGGCCAAGGACGAGCCCGATCATCAACTCCGCTAGCTCGCCGGAACTCGGAGGACGCGTCAGCATGTCGAGCGCGCGGCTCGCCGCGTCGCATAACCTCGCTAATCGAACATCCACCTACGCAAATTACAGTGAGGAGTGCAATACGAGAGCAGGTAAGCGACACTACTCTAAGCCGAAAGGCTCCGACGAGATCGGTTTTCTCCCCGATCGTCAGCTCGCTCGGCTGAACGGAGCGCGAAGGAGGGAACGGCAAGTTCGCATCGGAAACAGAACGCGCGCGCGCGCAGATCTAACGTTGGAAACACGAAGGCGCACGCGCCAAAAAAGGACACCGGGCTCTGTCGATGTTCCGGAGAGAACCGTTAGCTCGACAACGGAATCGGAGGAAGAGAGGCGCGAATACGGAAGCGATCCGGTCGAAGGAGGCGACGCCGATTTCGCCGGCGAAGGAGGACTCGACATGGACGATGATGAAGATGAAGATGGCGGAGATGAAGATGCTTACCTGTCTAACCTTGGCGCGAGGTTTTTGCTCTGCGAGATCGAGCAGCTAGAGAGAGAGAGAGAGAGAGAGAGAATGTGTGAGCTCGGGGAGAAACGAAGCGGACAGCGTCCTTAAATAGAGAGGGAGAACAACCACGAAGCACGGGAGGGGCGCCGGGCAGCGAGCAATCCGGAGCTCGAAATTTACCGAATTGCCTGGACTTTATTCCATCTCTTGGCTCTTTGCTCGGGGGCTTAATCGTGATTTTACCGATTTTGCCCTTTCATTTTCATTGGGATTTCATTTAGGGGGACGCTCGGTTGAGTAACTCGACGGAGAGAATTTTTGCGATTTTTCTCGTGTATGTGTATCGATTGCGGGCTCCACGGATGCATTTCTTATCTTAACGCGTTAGTACCCGCAGCCTCACAACCCCAATCGCTAGGGAATCTTTGTCTTGCCCCCCTCGATAGGTAATCATCTTTTGTTGTTTTACATCCCGGCGATCTCGAGGTCCGGACGAAGACTAAGATGAAGCCTTTTATGATCTTGCTCATGACCAATCTCGATACCATGCATAATCGATATTTTAAAATTCGAATCGTAATCGAGATGTATAAACTTAACAAGCGTCTCGAAAGTATTTGTTGGCCCGACCCTTTTCATAAAAATAATGTCTTAAGGTTGATTCGTGCAAAATTCTTATGAAGGATGTAAACTCGGCTGTTTAGGTCGAAATCTGTTGCGTATTTTTGTTACTTTAATTATATATCAAGTATCATGCCTTTTCGATCTTTGACTTTGCAAGCACCACAATTTATCTACCTATGGGATATGTTCATAAGGTCGGATCTTTCACCATATTGGTAAGCATAAGAAAAATCCTAATAAAGACTTCAAACATCAATCTATGGATGACTTCATCTATTCTTAATGTGCCGGCTAGCGCGAAAAAAGACCTAAATTTAATGGCCTACTTCCTTTTTAACTCGACTCGGCAAGTAACGATAAGTATCTGGTTCCGATCGCCACGATAATTGATTTCGTGGAAGTTGTTTTGCTCAATTTGAGAAAAATGACGAAAACGGGAGGATTGAAGATGGCCGTGGAAGAATATTAAATTAGTGTGAGAAGGAAATAAAAAGATAAATTTTAAAACTGATTCCATATTCTCCCTCCTTCCGCCTTAAAAAGTCACTATTTCTAACTTAGAATACAAGAAATGCTTCGGAAAACAAATTCCTAGAAACAAATACCGACTTCTCGACAAGTATATTGAGACACTATAAATGTTATATCGTCTTAAAAGTATCGAATTTAACTTTCGAGGCAGGTGCAGCTGGTCGAAGCATCACGCGACTTCCAATTCAGGAATTGGTCGTCGCCTATCATGTGCAAATCGTTATCAATGGGGGTTCACCCTACACGGGGCAAAAGGGCCCGGACTTAATCGGTGCGCGAGCTATGCAACGTACTATGAATTTCTAAGCGGTCGGATCCGGAGGGTCGTATCCCTAGATTATAAAAAAGAGACGAATTGATGGGTTTGGCATGAGATCCGTTTAAGAGTGGAAGAAGGGCAAGTGAAGGGGAATGTTCAACATGAAGAAAAACCGAATTATTTAATCGTTATCAATGGGGGTTCATCTTGCTTAAAATTTTAATGTTTAGGGGAGGGGAGGGGAGGGAGGGAGGGGGGAGTTGGTGAGGAGGGTCAAATAAGGACAGCAGCAGCAGAGCGGCAGCGGCGCCCCTATCTCCTTTGGCGACCGCCGATTAAATGAGTGGGCAACCTACCAAATCGGCGATTTATTCGGCCCGACAGCGACGCCTCGCACGTGTCGGGAGCCCAGTTGTCGGAGTGATGGGAATGCGGATTCCCCTTGCTTGTGTTTTTTTGGCTCAAAAAATACGAGAGAGAGAGAGATGGGGTGGTGGCAATAACAATGAAGCCGTGGAGGAGCAATTCGGCGATTATTAGAATGTGGCGTCGTGGGAAATGGAAAGAGGAGAGAGGCGGGAGGTGCAAGTGAGTTTATCGGGAGGGAAAAATTGTCCAAAAAGTTCTAAACTTATTATACTTTTATCAATTCAGTCTTAAATATTTCAATTTTGCCAATTGAATTCTAAACATTTTCAATTCTTGCCAATTGAGTCCAGCTAGTTTATGGAAATAGCGTCTTTGTTGAAGACGTGTGCGTTGAGATGTATGTGCGAGTTGTGTTAGAAAAAGATCAGATCGAAAAGTTGGTGCGGTGTAGAGTAGTTAATATATCCAAATTAGCATGTAAGTCCTTGGCTTAAACTTTTAAATGAACGTGGATATGTTAATGGGCTCAGATTTGGGCTCCCTTTTGATGATCTCCTCGATGGCAACGTTCGTGGTTCGTTCTATAGGAAGAGACCAATATATGAACAAATTGAGACATCTTGGAGCAGAAAGATACTTGAATTAAAAGGGGAGCAAATCCGAGCTCATAGGTGGGAGGAGGTTGTTGAGATGCTTCCTCTCGGTAATCTCCTTAGATAAGGGTATCGGTTTCCTTCTACGCAGTTAATCGAGATGATCGAATTTCTGAATTCAAAGCTGCCATAGTGACTTTCGATATTTCACTCCGCATATAAATTTTTTTCCTTTTCCCAGTAATTTATGGCCAGGGGCACACTCACTCAACATGAAAACATGTCCAAATCCACAATCCAATGTTTTCACTCTATCAACAAAGTCAACGCAAGCAGTCCAAATAAAGAACCTCTCGGTAGCCAAGCCAACTTTGATTGACTTTGACTCGCATGTGTCCAAGAAGTGGAATTTTTTCAAGTGTATATGCTTCTTAAAGTTGTCCTTTCCCTCCGCACTGACTTCTAAGTTGGCTGGCCACCACTTTCTCCTCCATTTAGAGCCCGAGGAGAGGAAACGCATTAAGAAATACATGGTGTTAGAACGTCCAACAATAGGGTAAGTTCGATAGATCGAGGAGACCACATGCCTAAAAAGGGTGTGTTAGAAATTCAAGCTCGAAACTTAAAGTAACAAGTGAAGAGAGATCGCATACATATAAAGAGCATATAAATGCCATTAAAGCGTGAAATTTAAGGGGTGGAAGCGGATGCATGCGCGAAATAATTTGGGCAGAACGTAAGCTTAAGCTTATAAATAGAGGAAAACTATGTATATATAAAGAGCATATAAATACCATTGTCGAGAGACATGAGATATTTCAACCCCCCTCTCATGTGGACGCACACGAAAAAAGGGGCAAAACTCGACTCTGATGCGATATTGGCAATGAGCATATAAATTTTGTAAACTAGCAATGCGGGATACTTTAATGCTCTATTTTATATACAAATTGGATTAGGAATGACATGTGAAATTTGATGAACTGAGGACCGAACATGAGAAAAGCGGGGTATATGCTGGCTCTGATGCTAACCCAAATAGCTTAAATTAATAAGTAACAAGGAAGACCATTTATATATATATATATAAAGCGTAGAAATCTCATATATCAATGATTGGAGATATTTCCAATCAACTTAATAAATCAAAATATAGCTTATCAACAAAATAAATAAATATAAAGTAATTACGTCTTCCCTTATTTTCCCTTGTCATTTGCAATTTTTCTAGGAATATTCTCAAAATTGAACGCATCGATCAATCAATTGCCAAATGGGACAAAGAGGGCGTGAATCTTTATGCGTGTGAAAGGTTGTGATTTCAATTTGATTTTTTTTATTGGAATTTTATATAGCAATCGAGACAAGAAATTGGGGGGCATCCCAAGTCAAAGTGCTACCGACTTAATTATTAAAAAAAAAAAGTCACGGGTGCCTTTAGCTGACTTGACAACGACTTAGATCTTTTTCAAATAAAAAAATATATAAAAAAATAACTTTCCGAAAACCTCACATGAAAATGCTTGAACATCTTTGATTGAGAAACCAAAAATGACATCCAAGAGATTGACCCATGAATTGCTTATCACCCTAATCGACTCGACTCGACTAGACTCGACTGAATTCAAAATTGTCGCTCTCGCGCGCAGCTTGTCAATAAAAAATATAAAATAAATATATTAAATGTCACCAATTTCCGGTGAAATTGCCGTTCTTCAGGCATCCCACGAGTCTATAGTCACATTATAGAGAGACGAAAAAAAAAATGGGACCAACAATATCAAGAAGAAATATGGAGATTCGATAATTTAATCCGTACTTCGATACAAAGTCGAAACGATTATTCTCACCAAGACATTAAGTTACTAAAGAAATGGGCTCATTGTATTTATCGAACATATATAGCTTAGAAAACCATCGAGAAAATTGCAAAAAATTGGTATTCACTTAATTCTTCCGTGCGAAACTACAAGTCATTTTCACTTTAAAATTGCCTAGCTTTACCTATTAAATACTCAAAGGAAAAATAAAAGAAGAAGAAGCAATTTCCCTCACCAATCTTAGCGATTGCGTACACTGAACAAACGACCCCCATGCGGTGGGAAAACATTGACCACACGCGATGATCGACAACCACTTTGATTCCTCAACCAGCCATTGATGACCATGTGAATCATGATTTGACAAATGAGTGAGTGCTCAGTAGACATTGAGTGAGTGTCAATTATGGCTCCTTGGATTTTCCTTTTTCCCATAACTTTGGTGTTGGTTTTTCTTTTAGTTCGGGATAGCTCCTTACTACGATATGGCGACACGATTCCAGGGCTACTCAAATAATCGAAAACATGGGGGAAATTGTCTAGAAAGCCCTACACCGATTGCATTTTCGCCAGTCTAGATTTAATTCTTTCAATTTTGCCAATTGAGTCTATTTGGCTAATTTCGATTGGATATTGAAGATGTGGACGCTAGCCGTCCTACGTGGCGCGACTGACATTGACGTAGATAAATTTAATATTTTTTTCTATTTAATTTCTCTTTTTATTTTCTTTTTCCTTTATTTTTCCTTCCTTCTTCTCTTCTTTGGTTTTTCACTGTGGCCGGCGGCGAGGGTCGCGAGCGAAGGCGGCCTCGCTCGTAGCTGACCAAGCAGTGGCCACCTTCGCTCACGGCCAACGAGGCGCGTGGCTGCTGGCCAGGCTAGCCTCACTTAGTGGCCGGCAAACTCTGGCAACACTCGCCAGCCAAAGCTTGCTGGCCAAGCTCGCCGGCCACGATGGGAAACCAAAGAATAGAAGAAGGGAGAAAAAAAAAGAAAAAAAAGGAAAAAAAATAAATTCGAAAAAATAGTAAAATATTATTAAAAATTTTCACGTCAGCGCCGATCATCCTACGTGGCATGATCGGTGTCCTCATTAGCGATTCCTGGCTAAAATTGGCCGGATTGACTTAATTGGCAAAATGTGAAAATGTTTATGACTTAATTAGCAAAATTAAAATATTCATGACTGAATTAGTGAACGACTAATAAATTGATGATTTTTTTAGATAATTCTTTTGGAAAACATGAGATGTGTTTCACAATCATCCCGACACGATTTTTTAAGCAAAAAGACTGTAAATATCCGAGAAGCCAGTGTTAAATAACTCGATTCAAAGGTATGCATTTAGTTCCGAAGAATTATGGGAGTGTCGAAGGAGTTTAGAGATATCGTTCTTTGGTTGAGGAAGGATATCGCTTTATGTTAGCCAATACCCAGATCGGTGAAGTTTCCCCACCAACTCATTGGGTCGGGTACGATGCGAGCCAAAACCCCAGAGTAGTCGTCCAACCACGAGATTGGCAAATGCAATTACAAGCAAAATTTACATTAAAAGTAGACCTATCAAAATGGATCATAAACCCATTTCTTAACCCATATATTAGTAAATGGGTCATAAATAGGTTAGTTATATTTAGTAAATTGGTCATAAATAGGTAGAAGTCTTATATTGGTGTTAAATGGGTCGCAAATGAGTTTACAACTGATTTAAACTTAACGCATTTCTCTCGCCCTCACTCAATCTTGCACTCACTCATTCCGCACTCTCATTTCAGCTTGGGTATGAATTTTCCTATATTTAATTAAATATTGAAGTGTTTTAGCAATACGGGTCTAATCGGATATGGGTTGGGTATGGGTCGGGTCGGGTCGGGTATGGATCAAGAAAATTGCATTGCACATAAATGGGTCATAAACGGGTTAATGGGTCAATTTGGATCGAACTATTTATGACCCGACCCAAACCCGACCCGACCCACCCATTTGACCGGTTTAATTAAAAGGAAGACAATTTGGACAATATTCGGCTCATTTCTTTGGCACTGAATCTGCATAAATTTTGGGACAAGAAAGCTCCCTTTCTATTGTTCGAACCAATGTTTGGCAATGTGGAGAATGTAGCTGTAATTTTATCATTACATGGCTCTTCTTCCCTAGTTTCGATCTTCTACATTATAGCCCCGTTTGCACTGTGCACGGGTCAAGTGAAAAAGAATATGTATAGAGAAGCTATGCTTGGGGAAGAATACAATGAGGTAGCAGTAGTATGCTAAACAATGGAGATTAACATGTCTTGTAGGGGCGAGAGCACTTCGATTTCCGGGCGCGAGCCAATCATATCATCTTCTCGAACTTGTCGAGCATCTTCACACGTTGCATCGACCTCAAGAGCAGTGTGAAAAATACTCCTGGATTTGCACGTAAGTTTATTAAAAAGAACCATTTACCAACACTAATGGCGGAAAGAAGAACTACTTATCTCAATGTAAAAGACAGTGTGGATGAATGATGAAGAACCTGCTCCAATGAATGACCCGTTTGCGAAAATCTGACTGCCTTGGTTAGTGAGAGTAACTCCTAGATTTAATAGCGTGCCTCCGAAGACGGTGTACATGGTGGCCATTTGAAGTATCGTTGCTTTCCGAGCTGCTCTTTCGGACTGGGAAACCGAGAAGAAAAACCAGTCATTTTCACGGACTGTCGGATTTAAAATTCGAGAATGACATCAGGTGCTAACAGAAGGATCTGCAGGACCTCCTAATGGGAACATAGTGAATGTATCGATGCAATGGTTAAAGTAGGAATAGCAGAATACCTCGAGCACCCGGACTCTGAGTTTTAAATCCCCCGACTCGAGTTGATTCACAATCTCCTCTATCCGCTGGACTCTGTAAGGCATGCTTACGGCGGAGGTTCTAGCCTGAATGTGTTTACATGGTTGCTCTCAGTAGCAATTCTCATCAAATATGAAAAACGCATGGTCAGGAAGTCATATCTAGATGGACTCAAAACCATACATCATCAGCTTGTTTCCTAATCTGCTGCACGAGTTGCGTGCCTGTCTGTTGTCTTTGCCTTATATCCAGAAGCTCCTGCAGCCATAATCGCATGGTTATCATTCTGTAGCGGAAATGGGCTGCTAATCTTATGTACCTACTAATGGTGAAAGCCGTCAATTGGTTCTTAGGAAAAACAATGGAACCTGAGCATAAGGGGCGGCAATCTTTGCGAAGGAAAAATCGGGGTCAAGGGTGTAGCCGATACCTGCAATATGACAGTTATAGCGCGACAAAAAAGGTCAACCTCATTGCATTTGAATATTGCCATCTCTTTTAAGACAGAAGGAAGACATAACTATTTTTACATATTTTGTTCTTATGGCAAAAAAGGACATAGCTTGTCCATCAAGGGTTCTGCAACTACTGGGGAAAAAGAGGGTGCTCGATTTCGAATCATAGGAAGCCATTTCATATTGTAGCAAGGAAAGAATGGATGACAAAGAGAGAGAGAGAACCTTCAAGAGTAGAAAATGCCCTCAAGACAAAGGTAAAGGTAGATGGAAATCTGAACGGCTGATCTTGGGCTATTGCAAACAAATCCTGCCACATAATTGCCATCACGAATCAGTTTCCTCTATATTCGGCTGTAAAATAATAACACTTCAATTTGGTTTCCCTTGTGAAGCAAATGCGTAACCTATATGCATACCTCCCCAATTGCAGCAAATGTCTGCTGTTGATCCGGTGTCTGGCTTAACAAGTTGTCCAAGAAAAACTTCACGGACCTCCTCACCTGAAGAACATTCAAGAACTGGTGACACAAAATCTCAAAGCAACATAGATCAAGAAGAACAACAGATTCATTGCCTTCCCAAGCAAAAGGCATTGCATACCGATGACAAGTCTCCAGTCGGCTGAAGAGCTCCAAGATCAATAAGGCTCTGCATAACCTGTGCAATCACCACTCGTGAGATTAACTTGAGCAATACAGCATAACCAGTGAACTAATCCATTGTGGTTTTGGACATTACTATGTTTGCATATGTTTGTGGTATCATTAGCATCTAATGAAAGATGGATGATTACGTTTTGGAAGCAGGCATAAGGAGTTTATTTGCACAGAAAGTGTGAACAAAAAAGAAAAACTTGCAAAGACAATTGATTAGTGATCTGGACAAACCTTTTTTGCATCTTTCTCATAAACAGCATAGAAAAGTTCAAGCAACCTCTCACGGGTGAAAGATTTGATCTCCCCCATCATTCCAAAATCGTAGTAGATGATCGCTTCATCCATGTCAATAGCGAGATTCCCAGGGTGGGGATCAGCATGAAAGAAACCAGTTTTCAGTATCTGCATCATTTTATTTCATAACATCATCCAGCTGTACGACGAAATCAACCAACAAAAACTGCATATGGTTTTCACTATCAAGATCTGGACTTTAAGACCGGTTTAGGGTTCTGTACCTGAATCAGATATGCTTCAATAGCACGTGAAGAAATGCGAGAGCGATCAAAACCACGTGAATCAAGCAGATTTAGCCGATCAATCTTAACACCTGCCACAGTATAGCCAAGATACATGAGCCTAAAGTGGCCATACTGTTAATATAGATGATATTGTCTTGAACCAAAATGAATATTTATGGTCTCAGTAAAAACCTGGTACATACTCCAAGGTCAACACCTTCAATGCAGTATAATCCCAGTAAACCAGCTGCAACAGAAAGAACAAGAAATAATTTTACAGTAACAAGAAGCCTAAGAATCAGATTAATGATGGCTGTACTGTCTACGAAAGTTAATGCATCTCCATGTGTAAGTAGCAGCAGCAAAATACATAGCTAAAGTAGTTGGTAGGCTGTTGAGGGAAAACCTACAGGCACTCGGACCCACTTTACGTTCCGAAAATCTCGCCGGAATTTATCAGCATTCTTCCCTTCATTGATGTAATCTATCTCTTGATACAAAATCCTGACATGTACAAAGGTCTACCGTTCAACTCAAAAAAACAGTATGCAAAAAAGAGAACTTGCTAGAAGAGGCAAAGAAGCAAAAGCTCTGTTATCCTACTGAACAGCATGTCACTGAACATGGACGAGAAGGATTGCATCTTTTGACCGCATAAAATGAGAATGGTACCAACACATTGACAAATAAAGATATACCACTAAAATAAGAAGGGGAATGAAATATGACAAGCAGACACAGTTTTATGACATGGAATAAAATGTTGGTATACAACATAGGCGCAACACAATGACATGGTAGCATGAACAACTTTAAGCTGATTCAAGTCAAGCCGAGTTGGTTTATTAAACTCACGTTGAACATTCTTCATAAATACCAATCCAGTCCCTTGTTGGACCCCCAAGAGTTTCACTTCTCTGAAAGTACTCTGCAATGAGCTTTAAATTACCTGGCCAGGAAAAAGAAGTCGAGGGGTCAAAGAAACCGTCAAAGCAATCTAACAAATAATTGCTCATAATGTTCATAATATTGTCCTATTAATGCCGTATCAATACAATTATCCAAAACTACTGCATCAGAACACTAAAGTTCAAGGTAGTAAGAAGTTTCATGCAAGTTCAGCGCTATTACTCATAGCTTTACAAAAAAAAAAAAAAAAAAGCACCAAGCACCCTTGTCACCCTTGTCATTTTGGCAACTTAAATACTGTCACATAAGCAAATGTGGAGTACCCCTGAACGTGCTCAAGAAAGAGAACTTATGGAGCCAAGTATCAGATGAATATAAGCAAATTTATTTGCCGTATGGCTGAAGGTGAAAGCAATGACCAGGGCACAGGATGAAGTCTCTTTAGCTAATATCACGCAGAAGTTCAGATGGTTAAATCCACATTTAACAGCTCATTCAGAACGGCCAGTACTTTGGGACCAATACTTGGTGATGCCCATGTGAATGAAGCTATAATTAACAATTCTTTGACTAAAGTAAAAGGGAAAGCAAGGAGAGGAATGAAGCATAAATATTCATGGTATGAAATATGTTAACCAAAACTGATAATTTGAAAAGAGTTCTCACTTACGCAAATCGATGTCGAAAAGCTTCCTCAAGCCTGGTCTTTGAACTTTTATCACTACTTTCTCTCCATTATGCAGTATAGCTTGATGTACCTATACGAGATCTTCCCAACGTCAAATCAGTAGAATACAATTATCAAGAAAGAATTACTCTGATGAGGATGTTAACTACAGAATATGGAAAATCATGACGGCTTCATTCTGCTTCTCCTTCTTCCAAAGTGATACTTGACATCTATACTCTCCATACTATAGAATAGAACCATTATCATATTTCAACTTCCGCTGGTTTTATATTCTAATTGATAAAAACGTTCTCACCGTCATACAGGGAAGTAAACCAAATATCTAAAAACGTCCGAGGAACTAAGGAAGAGTCAGAAACTAAAAAACGGATCAAACACCTGACCAAGACTAGCAGCAGCAATGGGCTGATCCTCGAACTCCTTAAAGATGACATCAACTGGAGCTCCCAGTTCATTCTCGATGAAATCTCTAGCTTTCTTGGGTGAGAAGGCGGGAACTCTGTCCTGAATTGAAAAGCAGATTTGTTTCATATTGCAAATGGTATAGAAGCAAATTGTTGTGTAATAGCGGGTCAACGTAGAGCCACCCTCAGAAATACCAGGCAAAAGCAGAAGAGCAAGAGAACAAAACGCTTCTTAAAAGCAATCATACCAGAATCAAGAACCACGACGTACCTGCAACTTGGCGAGCTCATCCACAAATTCACGTGGAAATAGGTCGGACCTCGTGGAAGATAACTGGCCAAGTTTAATGAAGGTCGGGCCTAGCTGCAGCACACGCTCCCGCAGCCAGGAAGCAGTCTTTCGTCGCCTATTTTTCTGAGTCGCAAATGTCAATTAGCACATCAAAATTAGAAATAGAAGTACCAACAGCTGCATCAAGCACCCAAAACGCTTAAAACACACCTGTTTGTCTTCCGAAAACCCTCCCACATAAGCCCATTTTGCATTATCGAGCAAAACGCGGACACGCAGAGATAGAACAAAGGACCAAACATCTATGTTCCTCTGCCAGGAGCTATAGTTTTCATTGGCCCAACTGAATCCTTCATCTGACAGCAAAACCTTGAGCTCATCCACTGGTGGAAACTGTTGGGGGTCTCGAACTTTCGGAGTCTTGACAAGGGACATGGTAGGTTTCCTTTTTACTATGCTTGCCCCATTAACAATTTGCTTCGAACCATTCACTATCTCCACTTTGTTACTACCATTCGGGGCATTCCTCTTCATTACCTCACTTGCGGGCACCATCTTAACGGCTCTTCCATTGGTACCTAATCTAGCCGGAGAGTCGGTCTGTCTCATATCCACCTCAAACCTATAAACTCTATTGCCACCGTTCACATTGAAAATTTTTCTCTCAAGTTGGGCGATTTGATTTGATATGGAGCTCGAAAAGCTCAAACCATCATTTGTTCTTCCTTGATTCAGAATCTCGGCGTCGCGGCAATAACAGCTCTGAGAAGCAAGTATTGCCGCCATTCAGCAAAATCAATGCCTGTAAAATTCGATAGGAAAGCCAAGAACACATAAGTAGAAAAGATGAAGACCAATCAAATTCGAGAGGTGTTAGATTTAGTCAACTCGCAAGTTCGATCAAGAAGAGCCTCGACAACGAGATTTGCTACGACAAAAGCTAAGCTAACTCAATACTATGAAAGCTGCTTTCTCCTTGGACAGGTCAAACACAGAAGTCAAGTTCCAACCGAATTACAAGCGCCCAAACAAGCCGAAGACACGGAATCGCAATCAACAACCCAATTCAAGAAAGCCCCCACGAGAAAGAAAGTCGCCTTCCCCTAGCTATATTCTCGGAAACAAACACACCGGACGACAACAGAACACCAAGAAAACAGTACAGAGGGATCATTACGTGGGTATGCAAAAGAGATTCAGATCCTCAACCCCGCTTCAAACTTCAAGGTTGGACCTCTGCAGCCTGACGATGAGCTCAGAGGGAGTGGGAGCGAGAACGAGATGGGTCAGGCTATAATATAACAGTTCAGTTTGGTGGGCGTGGCGTTAAAGAATAGCATAAGCCAGTGACTGCCGATGGAGAAAGGAAGGAAGGAAGGAAGGAAAGAAAGAAAAGGGTAGTGAGGGACAGAGTGGCGTGCAGCGAGAAGCACTGGCGTGTACACTTTGCTTGGTCCAAACTCGAACTCCAAGAACCAGAGCGTCTATTCTTGACGGACTATTTCTCTTTCATACTTTCCATTTTCTGGTATTCGGTTAACGACAAATTTGATATTTGAGGAAATCGATGATTCCATCGTTCGTGGCGTTGCCGTAGAATCTTTCAACCAACGCCATTCACTTGATTGGCTCCCGTTTGTTGGGCTCGGACAAAGAGAAACTGTGCGGAGCCCCTTGGCCAGCGGATGCGATCGGGTGGCGGCCGCTGTCACAGAAACTCAGGCCCCCCTCCCGTGTCCGGTGCCGCCACTTGGGGACACGACCCGCGCCTCGAGTGGGACCCACATGAACCCGACGCGAAGCGCTTGCTAGCCTGGCTTGCGTGGACCAAATGACTATAGACCTTAAGTCATGATTGTCTTTTCATAGATGATCCATGCATGACCATCAAATCAATGACTGTGATTTACTCGGAGCATAATGGATTGAGAAGCAAATTTTTATCAACGACTATCATCTCAATTAAAATTGCCTGAGAAACTTGATAAATCCATCCAAGTATGGCTTTGCCCATAATTGGGAGAATAAGTATTCAATATAATTAAATTTGGCGATTTATCTTCTAAGTTGAATTCAATTAAATTATATCAACGGATTCACCTCAATGTTTCACTGATCATGATACAGCTCAAATTGACCGAAACATCTTCGACATTGAAAAAGAAAAGATTTCTTTTACGTCACTCGAGATCACTCGTCTCCAAAACGAAATAATGAATGCTTAGGGGAAAACATCAACGCCCTTTTTATTTGGATCCAGAGCCATGGCTCATATCACATAAAAACGGCCCTCGAGACTTGCATATTTAGGCTATTTAGCCTTTCATCAAATTGGGCACATAAAAACATGTCGCATGTCCCAAAACTTCCAATCTCAACATGGAATCTAACATGGAATCCAAAAGAGAAGATTAGTCGACTTCATGAGCTGTTTTATCATTATTGCACATTTTAAATGTATATATATGTGTGTGTGTGTGTGTGTGTGTGTGTGTGTGTGTGTGTGTGTGTGTGTTTTGTTTGTTTCACGTTTGCCATGTGAAGTGAGACGCTAAAATGGAGCCGGCAGCTACAACAATTTTTCTACCTTGTCGAGATCCAAATCCCTGCTCAATACTCGATGTGACTAGCTAAACAAGTAGGGCATGCGCATGTGTTTCGTGCATCGTTTTCCGAAGGAAAGCAAGTGATGGTAACTATGGAAATGAGCTTCATTTGTTCTTTAGCCCTCTTTTGGAGTAGTTGTCATCTGCTGAGCAAAAGAAACAATTTAATTTTTGTTACTTTCTAGGCCGCGTGGGTGGATTAACTATTGTTTGCCAATGCCTAACACTTTTTTGAAAATTAATAGGGTCGCCGGTAATTATTTTTTTTAATGCCAAAAATTACTAGTCACATGAATAAGCCACTAACCTCATGTAAAGTCTTAGTCTCCTATATCGAAACTTACTATTATTATTGCATAAAATATTAGTTATGTCCAAACCTGTCATCTTTTTTCTTTTTTTAGAAAAATCTGCAGCACATATCTTGATCAGCTTGTGTAGCATTCTGCATAATCTTTTTGGCCCATGGGCATTTTCGTCTTTTTCTGTTTTTTTTCCTTTTTTTTTTCTTTTCTTCTCTCTTCCCTTCGCCGGCCATGGCGGAGGGAAGCCAGCGAGGGCGGCTCTCGCCGGCGCTGGGGTTGGGCGAGGGTTGCCCTCGCCGGCGTCGGGCGAGGGCGGCTCTTGCTTGACGCCGGCGAGGGCAGCCCTCGCCGGCTTCCCACCGCCAAGGCCGGCGAAGGGAAGAGAGAAGAAAAGAAAAAAAAAAGGAAAAAAACAGAAAAATGAAAAAGGCGAAAATGCCCATGGGCCAAAGTATTGCGGGGGTAAATGTGTCACAAGTGGCATAGTTTGGGGTTTTTCGTGTTGTTGACACCTAAATTTTAGCGACCATTTAGTCGTAATTTGTATAGAAAATTAGGGATTAAATTTTTAACCCCTAAACAAAAATATTTAGGTTGCATAACATATAGTTTAAATTCATTTTAGATTAATTGCATTTTGCATCGGACCGGCGGTGACGAACGAGCTTAAATTTCATCGAATGGGACTCGGCTCGCTTGGAATGCAAGGGCCGGGAATTACAAGTCAAACGGGCTCGGTTGTTTTAATTTGAGCTTAATTCAGCCCATTATCCTTAATTAATTCAGCCCATTTAAATTAAATTAAAATCTAAGCCCAAGCCTAAGCCCGTTAGGACTAGAGAGCCCATCTAATTGACCTAGGTTAGTGTTATATATACATCGTTAGGTCAGGATTTTATGTGAGGCCACACATTGAATACACGGCCACCCAATTGACATACACGGCCAGAGAATAGAAAGAGAGGAGAGTGGCTTTGTTTTGCTCGAACGCCCGATTGCACCACCATTGTGCAAAACCAGAAGACAGCGAATTCCAGATCGATTCTGTCACGTCTCAGATCGAAGTTCCTCCTGCCGTTGACGCGCCGCCTGGCTTTGTCCAGTTTCAACGACACCTCCTGATCTTGCTCTTGTTTCCCAGAGAACATCTTGCTGTTTTTGACAACGTTGTTGCTCCTCGTTGTCACGTTCCAGTTGAGTCGTTACACAACGCAGTCTACACAGCAGAGCAGTGGAGGAAAAGAGAAGCACGTGGAGCAATACATGGCCGAATATGAAATTTTCGGCTCAGGAGACTCTCTTGGCTATTGACCACCGCCCGCAAGAGAAGGGTTTGGGTCTTTGTTTTTATTTTATTTTCTTCTCACCGAACACATACAGGTTGAGTTTCATTGTTTGTTCTTTGAGAATTTCGGTCAGATAGTCAAATACAACTCCAGGAGGGACTCGCACTTCAACACACGCGTGCATTGGTTGCACTCTGTTTGATTGGCATCCTCATTGGCTGCCATAGGCATCCTCTACCAAGTTCTACGCTAGCGTTCCTTCGAGATCGCTAGCCGCAAGCTCCCTCACCGATTCCACACCGTGAGCTAGCCACTGAGACCAAGTTCCAACGACCTCCGGTCACCGCTGCGACAGTCGTTGAGCCGAGCGTCCCTACCGTGTCGAGCACCACCACGAGCGCCTACCGTGTCGAGCACCACCGCGAGCGCCATCGCCGAACGCCACCGTGAGCCGCCGCGCCGACGCCGCGTCGCCCGTCGTCCGAGTCCGATCCCGATCCACAATTCGAATTTGGAAGTTATCTGCAAATTAGGTAATTCAACATTATCCGATATTTTCAGAATATTTAATTTCCTAATATGGGTGTTTGAATATTTCGTGAATATCATGTGGATATTTAGATATCTTAGGATAATGTTCGATATATCCGCAATATTTTTAAATATTCAAAATTAGGAAAACTTCCTAATTTAGCAACGTATCTGGACGACTATCCGACCTTATCCCTAAGGTTCGATACGCGGCGATACGGAAAATTATTATCCTATCCATAACCACTTGGGTACGATAATGATTTTTATCCGCTTTCCAAATTTGAATAATCGGCTTTCCGTCGATATCTATAACCCTATAGATATGACCGATAGTTTGATTTTTGTGCCTAATCCGAGTTTGAAACAAATATGGCGGATCGCGTGGACGTTTTGAATGTGGTTGCTATCCTTGTTTATTTAATTGCTTTCCTTTTTCAAATAAACAGAAAATTCAAAAAAATATTAATTAGATTTGAATTAGAGTTTTTGCATGTCTAGGAATCCTAAATGTATCTAGAAGATAGAGTAGTTATTTAATTTAAATTAGGACTTGAGATGATCTATTTCCTAGTTTAAATTAAGTAATATTCTAATCTTAATAGATTATTCAGGTTATTCATTATTTCGAATTTTAACAAAAATCCTAAAAAGAAATCATGCTAGGGTAGATTAAGTCATCATAGTTTGCATGTTAATTTAGGCATTTTTATTATTCCGAATTTAAATTGAGAAAATACCAAAAATAATCATTCGTCCTGTCATTAGAAATAGGTCACGTCGTCGTACGACATATATTTTGCATGCTAGGTTGCATTAATCGCATGTCATTTTCGTATGTCATTGCATATAGGCTAGATTTCATTTAAATAAGTGAAAATCCAAAAAAAAAGAAATTGAGTGAATTGCTTGTTAATTAGAAATCATATTAGGGTGTCAATGTGATTTTCTAGCTAACAATGCAGATGCTTACGTTGCTTCCAGGTAAGTAATTCTTCCAAACTTGCAATTTATTTAATGCTTTCTGGGTGTTAAATTGGTGGTTTGCGCACTCGCATGAACACCTCACATGTTAGTAACTAAGTTGAAATTGATCCAAACTGCCTGCCAAAACATTTTTGAAAAGAAAAGGTACCGAAAGGGCGTTAGACAGGATCTAGCGTAATCAAGTCCCCGGGCTAGAATCTACAGTTCGTAGGAATAAAACATATCTCCCTATGTTTTATTTAGGTTTCTAATCAACCTACCATAAATTGATTAGTGGCGACTCCGAGCATAAAAACTTTTGCATGTTAAAAACTTAAACTCTAAGTTGCGAATTGGTAGGGCTTGGGAGGGCCCGAGTTAGGCTTAGTCTTAACAATCCATTAGCCTGAGAGAAATTTTAGGTCGCGACACGTGTCACAAAAAAAAGGTCAAGGTAAATTTATCACAAGTGGCATAGTTTTGGATTTTTCGTGTTACAAAAAAAAAGTTCAGAGTAAATTTGTCACAAATAGCATAGTTTGGGGTTTTTTGTGGTATTTTCCCTTTTTTTTTTAATATTGGATGATAAGAATCGATATAGAAAAGTTAATTTTGTACGATACGTTATTAATCATGTAAAGTAGTAATTATTGATAAATTGGAAGTTGAATTTCTTGTAGAAAAGGTACAAATCACGTGACAAATTATTAGTTGCATGCGCACTTACAAGTGATGCAATTTACTTTTGGAGATCTTAGTAGAGCAAGGAGGGGTTATTAGGGAATGGGACGACATGTAATTAAATTGGCACCCGCAGGATTGCTGAAACACGCTACGAATGTGGAAGGGGAAGGTCAAGAGATCCAATAGCCAAATCGCGATTAGGGGTGAGCAAGAATGTGCAGCACTTGCCATCCTTAATAAGGTTCTCCGGCACCTATCTGAATTGTTTGGTGAAAATCTCTCTAGTCATGTGTGGAACAAGAGAGGACTTGCGATATTACTCATTCATCACGATCTAATTTCAAATGGTTATCACCTGGTGTACTTTTGAGAGCTTGGTTCTTCGTGCAGAACGAATTTAATGGGCCGCAAGCACAACACTAACCCAAAAAAAAAAGCGGCTTGAAAAAGGAGTTCAAAGCAATTGTGTCTACGAATTAACAAGGATGGTGAACCTTAGATTAGATTCAGTACCTTTGTTTGTCTTTAAATCTTCGATAAGACCGGCCTTTACAAAGGAAGTATATATACACCTACATCAATAATATGGTTGTCCTTGTTCCAAATAAAAAAGTTATTACCTTTTGACCAGGCCAGAGCCAGAATTATTAGAAAGGGAACGGTCCATGTCCAATTTCAAATCCATGTCTATCTAAGGAGAGAAGACCCAGTTTTGGCCCACAATAAGCAGAGGGTCCATGACCTAGGCCATCCCAAAATACATATACCTTAAATAATGCTTAGTATATACGCCTACATCCTAGAAGGAAAATGCTTAGCTAACCGTGCCGTTAGCTCGGAAAACATACGGTCAAATCTCAGCCAAGCATTTTCCATATAAAAAAGTAATATGAAGAAAACGATTTTCTTGTCTTATTTAAAGGAAAAAAAAATCAAGTTGATAATATTCTAACGATAAGAGATATACAAAGAGCTCAACAACATCTTTTAAAGTAGTGGATATTATTTTCTGGCCAAAGAAAAAGATTATGTGGATATTGTTCCCAAATAAAAAAAAAATTTAAACTCAAAAGATAGGAATGTAATTATCTTGTAATTATCTACGAGATTTGGATCAACGGCTAACTTTTTCTCTACTAATTCATTATTCTTATCTCGATCTTTTCTTTACTTCATTTGTTTTATGCGTAATCGATATAGCTGGTCATAATCGATATCTAACTCAGAACCTGTCATCACTTTAGGTGATGGAGCTAACAAAAAAATTAGAGAATATACGGCCGAAAAGAGGAGCGCTCGGAGGTCCTGCTCCTAGAGGTGAACCATTTGGCGGTCGATTTAATCAAATAGGGAGGAGAACTCTATGAAATGTTCAGCTTCTAAAGAACAGTTTTGAGCATATTATTGTTGATAAAATCCCTAATCTATTCCAACGGACAGCACAAGATCAGATCGTGAGGACTTTGATTTGGTGACGTGAAGAAGTGATGGTGGTCTGGTGGGTCCAGATAACGGAGGTTGAGCAGAGCAGCAAATCCAACGGCCATGGATCAGCTGGAGCCCGCTGTTTATCTGAGATTGGCTTGGATGGTTGTGTTCACCTAGACATGGCCGCGGGCTGGTTTCGGCCCGGGTCAAATTCGGGACCAGCCCATTGACCGGGCCCGCGGTTCAGAATCGGAACCAGCCCGTGGCCTACGGGCCCGGTTCCGGTTCCAACAATTTTGGAACTGGCCCGGAACCGGCGGTTCCAAAAAAAAAAAACTGCGGATAAGTGGAGAAACTCTTTTTTTCCCCAAATTTGATTACAATGTACGTTTTGATTACATTTTATATTGAATAATTCATTATTTCATAATTTGATAATTCATTATTTTGTTATTTCATAATTTATTTTTTTAATTTTTACTGGTCGGTTCCGGTTCGTGGCCATGTATGAATCGGCGATTCCGTGCCGGATCATACATGGCCACGAACCGGAATCGGCCAGTTCCGAACTGTGGCCATGTCTATGTTCACCTTCTATGCAGGGCTTGCAACTAACAAAACAGATCTAAGAGCGCGCATCTCTCGCCGTCTCTCTCTTTGTCTCTCTCTGTCTCTCTCCATACGTGACGAGCATGAAGAGAATGATGCATCCGGGCAGGCGAGGGACGTGAAGCAGGCGAAGTCACCGCCTTCATCGGCGGCGAGGACCGCGGCACTCTCCGCAGATCTAGCGTTGCTGCGACCTTGCTGATCTCTCTCTCTCTCTCTCTCTCTCTCTCTTTCTTCGTACCGGGAGCAGGCGGCGGCGGCGGCGGCGACGATGGTCTGAGCCATCGGCGAGGGTCGTTGGACCGTCATCGGCGGACGGACTGCTCCGCCACCGCGAAGGCATGCCTCTCTGCCTTCCCTGCTCAGGCATATCCACCGGACTCTCCCTCTCTTTTTTCGGGCTTTTTTCTAAAATTTTTATTCCACGTCAGCGATTCATAGGACGAGCAAGCTGACGTGTCGGCGAACCGGGTCGCCACGTAAGCATTCCCTTGGTATATTTTCTCGGAAGGGAATGGGGCAGCTCAGGATGCAATTGCCACTGGATGAAAGAAAAGTTCAAAGGCGTGACTGGATAAATTGGAAAAGCTGAACCCCTTCGGACTACTTCATTCATTCGATTTTTTCCGTGACAATTACCCAACACCATTGATAAATCAACTGCCATCCAAAAACGTAATAGATGACATAAACTTTCAATTGGTTCGACTCATTGTCAAGAGGTAGATTTCCATGAAGTTACCGTGAACAACAGGGGGAAGACGGGCAGGCACTTTCAATGATTTGCCGCGTGGCCTCTTCTTCTGTCGTTTTCCAATCTCAAAGTCCTTGCTATTTCCATTTTCCCTTAGGATTTTGGCCCGGTCAATCAAACGTATTTTTTTATGGCCATTCGTAGTCCTAGATTGGGATTGCCATCCCCGTCATTCAAATGTCCCACTCTGCTCGTCGTGCACTCCGATGACCATCCGTTGACACGACTTTAATATTGTGAACTCAGGTCTTTGATCATCACAATTCGAGATTGAAACGCGGAAGGTCTTTAGATCACAAAATCAATAGACGTAAAAGGGAAGGAGGAAAAAACACAACTATCATCATAATAACATCGTTAGTGAAAGCTTGAATAGCTGGGCGATGGTCCACAATAATAAGAGTTTGCCACGTTCGAAGCGATTGAAATCGTTGTTAATAGGACTCCGTTAATTAAGTGTCCTCAAGACATTTTATTAACCAGCCACATAAGGACAATTTGCAGCTTATAATCTATCTTTTCTCGTGTCATTTGCAATCGGCGTTTCGAAAAGCGTAAAATTTCTTATTAAGTATGCTTAATCTCATTAACGGAATCCTTACAATATGAAAGAAGCACGTACGGCATAACAACCTAGAAATGCAGTACCCATTATGCCAATTTCATTAAATGAGCCTCTGGAGGCTAAGATCTATTATGAAGCGACCGAGAAATGCGATCCACTTGTTCAAAAGTTCAATGATAATTTGCGATGCAATCGATGAATAGCTTACGACAAACATTATTCTGTTGTCAACGGATAAGAATAATTCGTGTATACTTCGATATTAATGAATGCTACATGCTTTATTAGACGACTAATATAAAGATAATATCAATTATAATCGATTAAGGATATATATATATAAAATAGTCAAATCTGGTGACCAATTGCTAATCTACAACGACAGCGAGAATACCAACACAGGTGACGACCCATAACATGGCAAGTTCTGAGCTTGTGATGTGAATCTTCTCTTTTCTCTGTCTCTGGTCTCTGGTCTCTGCATCTGCAAGTGTGTTGTTCGCACTTGTCGAGCCTTGCATCTCTGCATTTTTCTTCAATTCCGTGTCCGCGGAGGTTTGGAATCAACGAAGCGAACGTTCCCAGCAAATCTTCGGATCTCCAGATCACACGCCATCCCTCCTGACGAAGTTCAGCTTCGCAGAAGACCCGGAAGAGCCTCTATATAGTTAACGGATCCCCGGTCTCAGTCTTTCAAATTGCTTCCACCTTTGGCCGTTGGAGCGATAACTGGACACCTTGGAAAAAAAACGGTTCGTCTCCCATCATCCCCGTTTTGATGTTCGTGCCGAGGCTGAGGAGCATCCAGCTTTTCAACCCGCTTCTCATCGCGAACCGGAGCTCCGTGCCAAGATCGGTCGTGCAGGGCCACTTTTTGAGTACCTTCGCTCCTTGCAAGCGAAAGGCTCTAGAGGGTACGCGCGCTGATCGATGCATTTGGTATTCGCAAGTTTTCATTATTTAATCTGTCGTCTGTGACGGCGATCAAGCCTACCCAAGTACCCAATTTCAGCGTTTCTTCGTCTGTTAGATTCGATGACATTCGCGATCTAGTTAGTATCTGTGTTCGATCCCTTTTTTATCAGAAATTTTTTACTTTTCTTCGTGGGTGTCGCTGTCTTGATGCTCTCGAGCTTATTGTATCCATTGGACGAGGGATTAGTGAGGGGTCTTGGCTGCTGCTGGACAAATATATAATGAGAAAAATTACAGTAATATTCAAGGAAGCAAGGAGCATCACCCAAGAGACTCTTCGTTGGGGAGTTGACTTTGTAAACCAGAGAAAAGACTATTGAAGTCTTCCTCCTTTACTTTTTTATAAATAGTAGTGTTGTAGTGTTCTCTGTTCTGGGTATATTCCTATTAGGGTTTATTACTTTACTTTTGAGCTAGGCAAACCAATATCAATCAGTGGATGAGTTGTCGCTTCATTCGTCCAGGATCAGCTCCTAGAGTGCCATTTCCCATCAGATACAGGTCCATCACCGCATCGTCAGCTTTGAGGCAAGGCATGGCTGAAAAAAACGATAGTGGGATCGAGCAGATTCAGCTGCTCGATGGGATTCAGGATTCATATGGAGGAGTCACTGTGGAGATGAAGGAGCATATGGATGCTGATGTGTTTGCCCCTTTGCTCCGAGCTTCAATATCAAGCTGGAAACAACTGGTACTGAACTTGTACTTCGTCGGTCTTGTCACAAAATTTTTTTTTTTCGATTTGTAAGAATACCACTCTGTTCTACTGTATTTCTTCTTATTGGGTATCTTCTGGTTGCAGGGGAAGAAGGGCGTGTGGATCAAATTGCCCATTGAATATTCACATCTTGTTGACATTATGGTGAAGGTGCGTAGATGTGTTTTTCCGTGGCTAAGAATTAGTATTTGCCCCTGTGAGATTTACTTCAACTTGACAGTCCATACTTGTTAAATCGCTTTCTAGCAGAAAGTTTGATAGGTTTAGGTATGAAACACACGGTTCATTGAAATATTGTCTGGTAATTTGGCAGGATGGATTTAGGTATCATCATGCTGAACCAAATTACTTGATGCTTGTCCGCTGGCTTCCTGAGACCCCCGATACTATTCCTGTGAATGCTTCACATAGGGTGGGCGTTGGTGCTTTCGTCGTGAATGAAAAAAAAGAGGTAGCTTTCTGCCTTGCCATTGTCCCATTTCTTGCATTCGCCCTTTTGAGACTCTCTAATAGGAAGATGCAAAGAGATAGAAATGTAACATATGATTTGCTCATTCGGTTGTTCTTAGAAGTTCAGTGTCAGACTCTAGCACCAGACACTTCTCTCTGCAGCAGTGAGTAAGACTAGAGATGTGCAGTGCGTGAAATCAGCCTGCTTGATAGGCATTGAATCCTTTAGAAGGATAGATAGGATCACAGTAATTTCGCCTGGGAAGAAAACCTCCGCATTCGATATTCATTGGATTTGTATGCGTGTATGTTGCCATTGTGGATAAGCAGAGATATTGGATTTGTTTTCTTTTTCCTAACAGAACCAGTCTTTGGTGCCAATGCCTTGCTATAATCTTTTGGTTTGACTAGGTTATATCTATGACAAGCCGTTTAGTAAGGTGACTTCAGGCCATATTAGCATTTGGAGTGCGATAAATCTTCTCATCTTAGCAACAATCACATAATCTTCTATCGGTTTCCCTCTTTTAAGGGATTTAGCCCGTGGATAACAGCCTTACTTTGTGAAGAGATACAATGCAGTGAAGTTTTATACCAACTTACGTTTGGCGCACGCTTTCACACTGCTTTATCTAGTTTTCAGCGTGATTCTAATGCAGCCAGACACTCAACACTTCAAAGAATTTAAAACCTTTCCCCCCCTTTCTAGGTGCTTGTAGTCCAAGAGCATAGTGGAAGGTTCCAAGGTACGGGTGTGTGGAAACTCCCCACTGGAGTTGTGAACGAGGTGAGTATGTTTAAGATCTCAAGTGCTAGATAAGAAGTATCGATATGTATTGCAATGGTTTGACTGTGACTCTATCCCCGTAGGGTGAGGATATATGTCATGCTGTTGTCAGGGAAGTAAAGGAAGAAACAGGAGTAAGTGATGAGTTCTATGTTGTGTAGAAAAGTAAGGTCTCTGAGGCATTTCACTTGAGAATTCCAACTAAAGCCTTATTCTTTTATGTTCTACAGGTAGACGCTAAATTCGTCGAAGTCCTCTGTTTCAGGTAAAGAAAATCTTCTATTTCAGATTGTGGTGCATTAAAATGTTTTGGTCTTCATTTAGATTTCTGTATTTAGCCTTCTGATGTTTGAAATTGCTTTTGCTTTTCTCATATACTATCTCTTATGTTCTATCACAGACAAAGCCACAAATCATTTTTCACAAAGTCGGATTTGTTCTTCCTTTGTGTGCTTCATCCAGAATCATCTTCTATTGACAAACAGAATGTAGAGATTGAGGCAGCCAAGGTAAATTGCACAGTTGCATATCTTCTTGATTTTGGTGGAAGTACGAGGACTTTTTACTAATTAAATCTTTGCTTGGGCTGTCTTGTACAACATTCGGCTGCATGCTTTAATTTTGCATTCTTGCTCATTTGTGCTAAACAATGAATCTAGTAAAACTTAACGTATAATTTCTTAAGCACATTAACGACGGTTGACTTCACTGAATATCTGTTCGGATCTACCCATTTAGTAGGGGTGTTAAAAGATGATCATTTTCGACCAAAAAGAAAAAAAAGATATGATCATTCATTAGTTCTTTCTTTGGCCAAATTTATGATCTGAACTGAATGGATTTTGTTTTGATTATAGTGGATGCCAATTGAGGACTATGCAGCCCAACCTTTCGTTGTGGGAAACAAGCAATTCAATTTCATGGCGAAGCTATGCTCGAAGAAGGCTGATCAAGGCTACCCTGGTTTCGCTGCTTTGCCCACAACTACTGGGAGTGGCAAAAGGACTTACATCTACTGCAATAACCCCGATAATGTGGAGAACTCTGCAAGTTCTATGTAATTCCTGGGTTGTGATGCGGAATTTCTTCCTTAGACCCAGGCCTACTGCACTGTGTGGATCCCCACCACTGATTTTGTGAGCCCCACATGGGCGGACATGTAGGTGTCACAAAATCAAAGGTTAGGATGGACTCGGTCCAATGGACCTAGGACTAGACAAGAATTTTCTGGTTGTGATGCTTCGTAAACTCTTGCTTCTTGTGTTATGGATGCACTGAATAAATTGAACGAAACAGCTTCATTTTGTGTCATTTTGTAATAGTTTATGTCAAATTCTGTATACATAGTCTGGTTTGAAATGATGGTTTTTGGATGCAGAATCATTTCTATTATTGTGATTTCTAAAGGTTTAAACGCACCCTGTGTAAAGGTTATTTTGTGTGGCCGTGCAATCAAAATAAGTCCCAAGAAGTTTTAATTCATTAAAGCGGTGATTTTGCATTCTAATGTATGAACAATTACGTCACTTTCATCGTATAGCCATGTTTAGCATTGGCACTTCCCTTTTCGTCTGGTGTGGTGCTTTGGAAGGGCACTAAAGCACGAAATGAGTGGACACAGAACTGCATCAGTGAGCAAAATAATCTTACAGGTTAGTCACCTTCAAAATGACTGTACATTGACCATGCTCCATTGAAGAATAAGCTGCAAGAGAGTGATGGAAATGGAGAAGACGTCCCCCATAGGCAACTTCCTGGTGTAATACCTGAGAAAGGGGCTCAATGTCTTTCATCACTCTGAATACGCTATGGCCACTCACAGAGACAGAGCAAAATGCTGATGACTATGTAATACAAGAACACCATCATCTGTTTAAATATATGTGGTACAACAATGACGAATAAGTAAAGAAAAACTAGGCGACAGTACACCAACCATTTTCTTTGTTTCGTCCGCTTTTTAATTTGCATTCTTTTTGCAGCAGATGAGAGGAACAAGTCTTGCTTTTGTTAATTGTTCTGGTCATTGCCAAACCTCATCCTTATTGTATTTTCTGTCTTGCAACTTCATCATACCTTGTCGCTTTTCTTGGATCAATTAAGTTGGATCGAGGGGCAAAGTGCGACATGTGAGCAAATAGTAGGAACCAATATTCATACTATGGAGTTTGAAGTGCTAAAAGCAAGTGTGATGAGGCCTGATTCTATGTCTATGTCAGGCTTAAGTGCATGCAAATTACTGGGGAGTGCGGGAAAATTGACCCCGTCTTGAGTGAAGCCCGACTGTAAGTCTCTGTCTAACTTCATTCAAAAGCAGAAAGACTGAAAAAAACAAGTGTGACGACACTACACTTCTTCGCGACCGATCAAATTCTAACTCATGTCCGGCAATGTCAGTTTGCACCATGAGCAATCCATGCCTGTTTAATGAGAAATCTGCAATATTCGTCTCCACCCGATGATTCTCTTCTCTCAGTTAAATAAAACTGCCGCAAGATCACTTTCTTGTCGTAACGAGCTAACTATTTCATTCTTCTCAACAATCATAATGGATGTGGTAGACAGTACGAACCAGTTCTTCATCGAAAAGGTCATATTCCGTTGAACGGATGGTTGTCGAATTGTTATTGAGGTTAAACAGGATTGTGATATCTATGAAGATCAGTCGCACTTCCGACACAAAGGCGAAATCCCGTGGAGCGAAACAGACCAATCATGCCAATAAGGTATCTTGGTACAAGAAATTTAACCCTTTTTTTTTATTACTGTTCGGTGATTCAATGTTGCCATTTGAACTTCTTATTCGACCCCCAAAGTGTTGACTTCGGCACCAACTTCTTAGCCTTCGGAAATAGAAGGAGAAAGGGCTCTCTCTCATCTTCTATTTTTTTTTTTGGGTCATTATCTTCTGTTTGTTTGAGAACCATTCGTTATGGTGGTGTAGCCGGACGGCGGCTGAGCACTCTAGTTCTTTTGAGCAAAGTAATCGTACCATGGGCAGTCAAATTTTCGATTGGACTTTTGTTAATTAGCTGGGCCACGGAGTGAAATATTGAACTTAAACCCGTTACAAACCGAAAAGGCTTTCTTTTAGAGATGAATAGAAAATGTAATCTTTCTAAACTGACAAATAATTAAGTGCAATCAACACATCTCGACAGAACATGAACCTTGTTGTAAACGGAAAACAGGGGGATCCCCAAATACTATTCAAAATCCCCGAAAAAGACTTCCATAAGATGCTGCACATTCCCAGGGTTATTGCAGTAGGTGCGAATCAATTTGCTGGACTTCAACATGACGGCCAGAGGAGCGAAACCGGTGTAGCCACCGTTCGCCTTCGCTGAGCATATTTTCGCCACATATTGGACCTGCTTATTTTGAAGTACAAAAGGCTGCTGTGCAGTGTATTTTCACAGCAAAACCTGGCCATCTGACTCTACAAGTACCTTCTTGTATTCCAAGATGAAAGATGACTAACTACTTCACTAAAAGTCAATACCTAGAAATTTCCCAGAGCTACTCTATATTTCATAGCCAAAAAAGAACCTAAAAAGGGAATGATTCTGGACTTATGCTCAGTTAGACTGCCCTGCTAAATAAATTAGCACAGGTTGCAATAAAATGCTTAAGGACAAGCCAGTTGCATTGCTCATGGTAACAAAGTCAGTGCACTCGGAAAAGAAGCAAAAACATAGATTCATTCGTTACAAGATTCTCAGATTACTTATAAAGATAGAACTCGAAGCAAGTTAGTTCACTATTCAGAGGATACAACCCCTTGCAGCATCATGTTACTATAGCTAACTTTGGCCTTTAAACCCCTCAAAAAACTCCCCTTGATTTCCTGATAAATTTAAAATAGAAACTATTAGTAAAATTTTGAGGTGACAAATTTTAGAGATTTTCGGTGAATATAGTATCAAATGGAATAATTCAAATGCTAAAAGTAAAGTCAAGCAGAGACAGTAAAAGCAAAAGTCGCTATTATTGCACATTTACCAAAAGCAGAGAGTTTGAAAGTGTGTGCAAGTTACCCGAGCCGCCTCAATTTCTCCATCCTGTTTCGGGACGCAAAGCGAACACGGCCATGGCATTCCAATGAAGAGCATCTCGGATTTCGTAAAGAGTGACTTGTGGCTTTGCCCGTGCTCAAACAAAGGACATTCAATCAGGTTTTTCCACAGGAAAAAGAAAACTGAGGACCAAAAAGTCTTGACAAGGCCAAAGCGTCCATCAGTGAAATGCGAGACCAAACCATACAAAAAGTCTTTACCTGAATGCCAGGACTTCATTGAAGTCAGTGTCTATCTGAATGAAATAAGAACAATCCCTTTAGCTGGCATTCCCAAGCAAAGGAATCGAGATATTAACTCGTTTGCTCTATCGAAATGATGCCCAAAATATGAAAGGATCAGTTACTCCCGTCTCTTCTTTTGCTTCTCTGGATGCCAGGACTTCATCAAATTCAGTGTCTATCTGAATGAAATGAAAACAATCGCTTTAGCTGGCATTCCCATGCAAAGGAATCGAGATATTAGCGTGTTTGCTTGATTGAAACGATGCCCAACGTATGAAAGGATCACTTACTCCTGTCTCTTCTTTTTCTTCTCTTATAGCTGTAGCAAATACATCCTCGCCCTATATAAGTAGTCAAATTATCAAATCCGTAAAAGCATCGTAACCAAAACCCAAGACGCCAAAAACATCTGATGTGGCGTTAATTATCAAATGTACTCACCTCATCGACAAGTCCAGTCAGGAGCTTCCAGATGCCTCTGCCTTTGAATTTTCCGCCTTTCTCCGTAACTACAAGCACCCGGAAAGAGAAGAAAATGTTTCTACTTCAAAACTGCCAAGTCATGATGTAATGTCGCCAGAAACCAGGCATCTGGAAAGAACGAACTTGCACGCATATGTATTGGCTTATGAGATATGATGGTCTAAGAAAGGCCCTTTGTCCGTTCCTTCCTCTAATTTGACTGTCTAAGAGTAGCCAAAGAAAGAATCCAATGAATGACATTGATGGTTCACAGTTTTCTCTCCTTTTCATTCAGACCAAAAGCAGCAACAGCCACCTTATGCGAAGCATCTGCCTGTAACCGAATCCTTCCTGCCCAGTTCGCAAAAAGACAAAAATCATGAGAACGCTCAATACATCATGAAATTGCTCGCTATTCCTGCACAAGAAGCATGTCGCGGGAATAGATCTATCATAAGCCAAGCTACCGGAATATGTTCTGTTGTTCCATGGAGAACTGTATGTACCTTAACTAGCGACTTGACAAGGTGTGCATGCTCAATGGGCACTTTGATCCACACGCCTCTCCTCTTCTGTGACTCATGATAACTAACAAGGCATGAGACACATAGATCAAGAAGTTACATCTAAAAGAAAACAATGAAGAGAGAATCAAATTCGTTACCAATTCTCCCCATTTGGGAATTGAAGCCCTGAGCTTATTGATGAAGTTCTGAGTATCCATGAGCTCCTGGATTTCAACTTCAACTCCATCTAGCCAGCATCTTCCCAACCAAGTAATTCTTGATTCTCACTACTTGCAGTCTTATCTTGCTTGTCTACTGACTTGACATGTTTATGATATCAAAATCGGCATCCTAAGAGATAAAACAGAATATACTGAGTATTCACAATTCACCAGCTTAAGTTATAGCAGAAGACCAACTATCAGCACCGACTATAACTGTGAACACTTGGACCAAACATTCAGCGTAAGAGGTGGCAAAATATGAGAGGACAAATTCTGGAACAAAGTGACAGAGAGACCAAGTATGATGGACCAAAAAGGACTATTTCTCTTAACTTTACCGAGCGGAGTGTTGATAGATCTAAACTTTTTGGTAATCTAGGAGTCACTTCTGTTTTGGGTTCTGTTTTTCCTTCCCTCCCTATTTCAATAGGATCATATGTTAGGACGTATTCAACAGTCGAATGGTTATGGTAAAGAGCAGATATAGTACATAGAGACAGAAATACAATAAGGACGGCGTTTGGCGATAACCAGAACAACAAACAAAAGCAAGATACGATCATCTGCTGCAAAAGAGTGCACACAAAACAAAGAAAATGGTTTATGTACTGTCCCTTAGTTTTTCTTTTTCTTTTCTTTTTTCCGTCATTGTTGTTCCATATATATTTGAACAGATGGTGTTCTTGTATTGTATAGTCATCAGCATTTTGCTGTGTGTTTGTAAGTGGCCATAGTGAATTCAGAGCGATGAAAGACAATTGAGTCCTTTCTCAGTGTATTACACCGGGTAATTGCCTCTCTGGGAGGTCTTCTCCATTTCCATCACTTCTTGCAGCTTATTCTTCAATGGATCATGGTCAATTTATAGTTATTATGAAGATGACCAAGCTGCAACATCATTTTGCTCACTGATGCAGTTCTGTGTCTCTACTCATTTCGTGCTTTTTTCCCTTCCAAAGGAGAGCACCAAACGAAAAGTGAAGCGCTAATTCTCAAACATCGTTATACCATGAAAGTGCAGTAACTGTTCGTACTTCGGAATGCAAAATCACAGTTTGAATGGATTAAATCTTCCAGGGATTTTTCGTATGCGTGGCCGCAGAAAATATCAATTACACAGGTTGCTTAGAAAACAACCTTTAGAAATTAGAATAAGAAAAGTGATTCTGCTTCCCCAGATAGCTTCCCGAAAACAACACTAATCCAAACCAGACTATGTTAACAGAACTTTGTATAAACTACTATAGCAGGACAGAAGATGTGGCTGTTTCATGCTATTTATTCAGCGCATCCACAACACAAGAAGCAAAAGTTCATGCAACATCACAACCGAGAATTTTTTGCCTAGTCCCAGGTCCATTGGACCGACTCCATCCTAACCGCTACGAAATCAGCGGTGGGGATCAACGTGGTCCAGTGGGCCCAGGTCTAGGGAAGAAATTCCCCATCACAACCCAGGAATTACGTAGAACTTGCAAAGTTCTCCTGAACTCCAAGGTAATTATTGCAGTAGATGTAAGACCTTTTGTCACTCCGAGTCGTTGTTGCCAAAGGTGCGAAACCGGGGTAGCCATCATTCGCCCTCGCCAAGCAAATCTTTGCCGTAGAACTGAATTGCTTGTTTCTGACAATGAAAGGTTGTGCTGCGTACTCCTCAATCGGCATCCACTAGAATGAAATATAAAAATGGTCTACTTCGGTTCATAGGTTTGGCCAAAGAAATAACTAATGAATGATCATCCTTTAACGCCCCCAGTAAAGTGTGGATCTTAATAGTCATTCAGTGAAGTCACTCGTCCTTGCTTAAGAAACATTATACGTTTTACTAGACTCATTGTTCAGCACAAATGAGCAAGAATGCAAGATTAAAGCAACGCAGCCAGTATTGTGCAAGAGCCCGAGCAAAGATTTAATTTGTAAAAAGTCGCCCTACTTCTACCAAAATCAATAAGATTTGCAAGTGCGCAATTTACCAGGGCCGCCTTGACCTCTACATTCTGTCTCTCGATAGAAGATGATCGTGGCTGAAGCACGCAAAGGAAGAACAAATCTGATTTCGTGAAGAATGATTTGTGGTCTTGCCTGCGGTAGTACATAAGAGATAGTATTTTAGAAAAGAGAATGCAAATTTGAACATCAGAAGGCTAAACATGGAAAAAGGCTCCAAATGAAGGCCAAAACACCGCAATCTGAAGTAGAGGATTTTCTTTACCTGGAACAGAGGACTTCGACAAATTTAGTGTCTACCTGCAGAACTTAAAAGAATATGGCTTCGGTTGGAATTTTCAAGTGAATGCCTCAGAGAATTAACTTTTCAACACGACATAAAACTCGTCACTTACTCCCGTCTCTTCCTGTACTTCTCTGACAACTGCATGGCCTATATCCTCACCCTACGGGGATAGAGTGACAGTCAAACAATTGCAATACATATTGATAATTCTGATGCAGCACTTGATATCTTCGACGTACTCACCTCGTTAACAACTCCATTGGGGAGCCTCCACGCACCCGTACCTTTGAACCTTCCGCTATTCTCTTGGACAACAAGCACCTAGAAAGAGAAGGGAGGGGGGGGGGGGGGGGTGTGAAGGTTTTAAGTTCTTGCGAGTGTTGAGTGTGTGGTTGTATTAGAATCACGTCGAAAACCAGATAAAACAGAGCGAAAGCATGCACCGGAGGAAAGCTGATGTAAAATTTTGCTGCGTTTTATCTGTTCAGAAAGTAAGGCTGTCATTGACGGATTGAATCACTCAAGAGAGGAAAACAGACAGAAGATTATAGATTTTTGCTAAAGATGAGAAGGTTCATCGTAGTTCAAATGCTCATATGGCCGGAAGTCACGTTACTAAACGGCTGGTCGTATAGATATCCTGGTCAAACCAAAAGATTATAGCAAGGCATGGGCACTAAAGACAGGTTCTGTTAGGAAAAAGGTAAAAAGTCCAACATGTCCGCTTATCAACAATGGTAACATACATGCACACGAATCCAATGAACATTGAATGCTAAGGATTTCTTCCCAGGCGAAATTACTGGCGATCCTATCTAACCTTCTAAAGGATTCAATGCCTATCAAGCAGGCGGATTTCGCGCACCGCACATCTCTAGTGTTACTTACGGCTTCAGGGAGAAGTGTCCAGTGTTAGAATCCGAGCTTGAACTTCTAAGAACTACTGAGTGAGCAAATCGAATGTTACATTTCATCTCCGTGCATCTTCCTATTAGCTAGTCTTAAAGGGCTAATGCAAGAAATGAGACAATGGCAAGGCAGAAAGCTACCTCTCTTTTATCATTCAAGACGAAAGCACGAACGCGCACCCCATGTGAAGCATTCACACGAGTAAGATTGGGGGTCACAGGAAGCCAGGGGACAAACATCAAGTAACGCCCTACAGAATGGTGGTGCCTAAATCCTTCCAGCCAAATTACGGGACAATATGACAGTCAACCGTCTATTTCAGACCTAAGCCCATCAAAATTTCTGCTAGAAAGAGATTTAACAAGTACGGACGATGGAGTCGAACTTGCCGTACAAACTCAATGAAACTTTCTGCCAAATTACTCGGCGGAGCTCGGGCTCGCCTAGAATGGCCGAGCCTCAAGCTCGCCGGCCTAGGGCGAGCTCGAGCTCGCCGCCAGAGGCCGACAGCCCGCCGGCCGTCGCCGCGGTCGGCGACCGGCCTGAGGAAGAAGAAAAAGAAAAAGGAAGAAAAGGAAAAAAGAAAAGAAAAGAATAAATAATAAATAATTCGATTTTTTTTAAAATAATAATAAATTATTTAAAAATATATATAATATAAATAAAAATTCGATTTTTTTAAATAATTATTTTTATAAAAACAAACGTTTCATTAACTAAAGAAACGAGCCCAAGTGTCGAGGACTTGCGCACGACCTTTATGGATTCGGGCAGAAGGATCGGAACTAGAGCTCGAGCATCGGGGACTTGAGCACGGCATTTATGGACCCAAGTTCAAGTGCCGAATCATTGGGTACGAGCACCAGGGATTCGGGCTCAACCTCGATGGACCCGGGCGTGGGTACCTAGAGTCCGGGCCCTAGACTCTGAGGTCTCGAGCTCGGCCACCAAGACCTGGTCCTAAATGTCGAGACTCGGGAACTAACGTTGAGGTTTTTGTGCCTAAACTTAGAGTTTCGGGTTCAAGCGCCAATAGCGAGTCATACTTCGTAAAAAGTTTTCCGATTCTTTTAAAGAGGAAATCATTTTCCTGAATTTAAGCTTTTGATAAGGAAACCTTTTCCATTAATTAGGAAACTCATTTTCCTAAGGAAATATATGTTGGAAAATGTTTTCCACGAAACAAATGGATTTTTCAAGAAATTGCATTCTTAAATTAGGAAAGTGAAAAAGCTTTCCGGAATTGATCATCTTAAATTTGTAACTTTCACGGAAAATGTACCGTTTTTGGAAAATGTTTTCCAGGAAATCATTTTCCAGGAAAACGGTCAGTTTTCCTTTATTTGGAAAATGATTTTAATCTTATGATTTTATTTCGGACAAAAAAAATCGAATTTTTTATTTTAAAACAATAAGAATTTTATTTTATTTTTAATTTTATTTTATTTTTTAAAAAATCGAATTTTTAATTATTTTTAATTTTCTTTTATTTTTAAAAAATTTCAAATTTTTAATTATTTTTCTTTTTTCTCTTTTCTTTCCTTTTTCTTTTTCCTCTTCCTCCGCAACTGGCTGGCGATGGCCACAGGTGAGCTTGAGCTCATCGTTCTTCGCCTCATTCGAGCTCGGGCTTGCCTGGATCTGGTGAGCTGTAAGCTTGCCAGCCTTCGCCGAGCTCGAGCTTGACTCGCCTGGATCTGGCGAGCTGCGAGCTCGCCAGCCTCGACGGAGCTTGGGCTAACAAGCTCGCAGCTCGCTGGCCTTGGCCGAGCTCGCAGCTCGCTGGCCTTGGCCGAGCTCGGGCTCGCTTGGATCTGGCGAGCCGCGAGCTCGCCATCCTCTGCTGAGCCCAAGCTTAGCTCGCTTGGATCTGGCGAGCCCGAGCTCACTAGCCTCGACGGAGCTCGGGTTGATGAGCTCGAGGCTCGCCTGGATCGAGCGAGCCTGTGGCCGGTTGCCGGAGACTAGCGGAGGGAGGAAGAAGGAAAAAGAAAAAAGAAAAAAGATAAAGAAAACAAAGGAAAGAAAAGGAAAAAAAAAAGAAAAATAAAATATTTACAAATTTAAGATAATCAATTCCGAAAAATATTTTTACCTTATTAAATTAGGAAATTCATTTTTCTAAATTTATATATGAATATTTTCCTTAACCGGAAAGTATTTTCGATTGATAAAATCATTTTTGGACAATCAAATGAATGAAAGTCTGAAAAATACTTTTTCAGAAAATACTTTCACCGAGACAAACGCACTCTAAATCTCACGGTGGCCAATACTAATCCTTAGCCAAGAAGAAAGATGTAAGTGTACCTCCTCCATGCTACCGACAAGATGTGAACATTGAGTGACCAATTTGATCCAAACAACCTTCTTCCCCTGCAACCAAAAGATACCCAATTAGAACAGATGTAGTAGTAACAAAGAGGTATTGCTACAAATCGAAAGACAAAAATTGACAAGACTGAAGAAATGCAAGTTGAATACCTGTTGTTTCCAGCTTGATAGTGAAGCTCGGAGCAAAGGGGCAAAGACATCAGCATCCATACGCTCCTTCATAACCAAAGTGACTCCATCATGTGAATCCAGAATTCCATCGAGCAGTTGAATCCGCTCGATCCGACTGATGATGCACTGATGGACTCGTATGTGATGGGAAATGACATTCTTCTCTTGGGGAAAGTATAGATAGGAGAATATGAAGAAGACAGAGAGAGGGTAGGGAAATGGCATTCTTCTGTTGGGGAAAGTATAGATAGGAGAATATGAAGAGAGACAGATCTGTGGTGATGAAGGAGCGTATGGATGCTTATGTCTTTGCCCATTTGCTCCGAGCTTCACTATCAAGCTGGAAACAACATGTACTCAACTTGCATTTCTTCGGTCTTGTCAATTTTTGACTTTCAATTTGTAACAATACCGCTTTGTTACTACTACATCTGTTCTTATTGGGTATCTTTTGGCTGCAGGGGAAGAAGGTTGTTTGGATCAAATTGGTCACTCAATGTTCACATCTTGACGGTAGTATGGAGGAGGTACTTTTGTATGCTTTTTCTTGGCTGATAATTAGTATTGACCACTATGAGATTTAGTTCAACTCCATCGTCCATACTTGTTTAATCTCTTTCTAGCAGAAATTTTGATGGGCTTAGGTATGAAATAGACGGTTGATTGCAATATCGTCCCGTAATTTGGCAGGAAGGATTTAGGCACCACCATTCTGAAGGGCGTTACTTGATGTTTGTCCTCTGGCTTCCTGTGACCCCCAATCTTATTCGTGTGAATGCTTCACATGGGGTGCGCGTTGGTGCTTTCGTCTTGAATGATAAAAGAGAGGTAACTTTCTGCCTTGCCATTGTCTCATTTCTTGCATTAGCCCTTTTAAGAATATCTGATAGGAAGATGCAAGGAGATGAAATCTAACATTCGGTTTGCTCATTCAGTAGTTCTTAGAAGTTCAAGCTCGGACTCTTACACCGGACACTTCTCCCTGAATCAGCAAGTAAAACTAGAGATGTGCAGTCCGTGAAATCCGCCTGCTTTATAGGCATTGAATCCTTTAGAAGGATAGATAGGATCGCCAGTAATTTCGCCTGGGAAGAAATCCTTAGCATTCAATGTTCATTGGATTCGTGTGCATGTATGTTACCATTGTTGATAAGCGGACACCTGTCTTTAGTGCCCATGCCTTGCTATAATCTTTTGGTTTGACTAGGATATCTATACGACAAGCCGTTTTGTAACGTGACTTCCAGCCATATGAGCATTTGAAGTACGATGAGCCTTCTCATCTTTAGCAAAAATCTATAATCTTCTGTCTGTTTTCCTCTCTTAAGTGATTCAATCCATCAATGGCAGCCTTATGAATAGACAAAACGCAGCAAAATTGTACATCAGCTTTTCTTCGGCACATGCTTTCGCTCTGTTTTATCTGGTTTTCAACGTGATTCTAATACAAGTATACAGCCACACACTCAACACTTAAAAGAACTTAAAACCTTCACCCCCTTATCTTTCTAGGTGCTTGTCGTCCAAGAGAATAGTGAAAGGTTCAAAGGTACGGGTGCGTGGAAGCTCCCCAATGGAGTTTTTAACAAGGTGAGTACGTCTAAGATATCAAGTGCTGCGTCAAAATTATCAATATGTATTGCAATTGTTTGACTGTGACTCTATCCCCGTGGGGTGAGGATATAGGCCATGCAGCAGTCAGAGAAGTAAAGGAAGAGACGGGAGTAAGTGACGAGTTTTAAGTCGTGTTGAAAAGCTAATTCTCTGAGGCATTCACTTGAGAATTCCAACTGAAGCCATATTCTTTTAAGTTCTGCAGGTAGACACTAAATTCGTCGAAGTCCTCTGTTTCAGGTAAAGAAAATCCTCTACTTCAGATTGCGGTGTTTTGGCCTTCATTTAGAGCCTTCTTCCATGTTTTTTTTTAATAACCCAGGAACCCCCGCACGGCCGACAGCCGGAGGGGTAAATCTGGGGTGACGCTAACGCAGGACCCACCACCACGGCGCCACACTTAAGAATCCCTAACGACTAGGCTGGGGTTCGAACTCCGATCCCTTTGTGGGTGGACAAGAGCGCAAGCCAACGCAGCCGCTGCGGGCGGTGGTGCCTTTTTCCATGTTTAACCTTCTGATGTTCAAATTTGCATTCTCTTTTCTAAAATACTATCTCTTAAGTGCTACCGCAGGCAAGACCACAAATCATTCTTCACGAAATCAGATTTGTTCTTCCTTTGCGTGCTTCAGCCACGATCATCTTCTATCGAGAGACAGAATGTAGAGGTCAAGGCGGCCCAGGTAAATAGCGCACTTGCAAATCTTATTGATTTTGGTAGAAGTAGGGCGACTTTTTACTAATTAAATCTTTGCTCGGGCTGTCTTGCACAATACTGGCTGCGTTGCTTTAATCTTGCATTCTTGCTCATTTGTGCTGAACAATGAGTCTAGTAAAACGTATAATGTTTCTTAAGCAAGGACGAGTGACTTCACTGAATGACTATTAATATCCACCCCCTTACTGGGGGCGTTAAAGGATGATCATTCATTAGTTATTTCTTTGGCCAAACCTATGAACCGAAGTAGACCATTTTTATATTTGATTCTAGTGGATGCCAATTGAGGAGTACGCAGCACAACCTTTCATTGTCAGAAACAAGCAATTCAGTTCTACGGCAAAGATTTGCTTGGCGAGGGCGAATTATGGCTACCCCGGTTTCGCACCTTTGGCAACGATGACTTGGAGTGACAAAAGGTCTCACATCTACTGCAATAATTACCTTGGTGTTCAGGAGAACTTTGCAAGTTCTACGTAATTCCTGGGTTGCGATGGGGAATTTCTTCCCTAGACCTGGGCCCACTGGACCACGTTGATCCCCACCGCTGATTTCGTAGCGGTTA